GAAGCCTCTGTGTTCCGCGGGCTGCCACTTCCTATTCGTCTACTGGCGCCGTCCGCTTGATCGTACCTACTTCGTCCCCGGCATCGCTCTCCACCGGCAATCCACTTGCCTACCTACCTAGCAGCCATATAGTGGTCGTTATTGATCCATCTGCGTCCACCTATGGCGCCAGACGGGACACTGTCACAGTCTGTCGCGGTGCCAGGCAGGCCTGCGCTTCCTTTCCCTCCGTCTGCCAAATCCCGAACCCATTGTGCTCTTAAAACGGAGCATGGGTGCTGGGCACTAGGCTCGGTGCTAGTAGTGTAATAATAATAACCAGGCTGGCACTAGTAATACGTCGTAGCAGCGCCGGAGGGCAGCTCAGCACCCACGACAGCTGCCAGTTAGCTCTTTCTGGCCGCCGCCCACCTACTGGGTTTAGCACCTACAGACCTACGACATACCCAGTCTATGCTATGCTCTGTAGGTGCTCTGCCCTACAGCCTGCGCCACGCTCACTCCCCCCTCCCGCGAGCGTTTGGAACTGCCAACTTGGCTGCTATGTCTCTCTTGCTCCATTGACCGATCCACTCCCTGCTGCTGGCCCTGCATCTTCTTTTTTTTTTCTTCTTGTATGCACTACCGGCTGGTGTATTTTTCCCTTACTACTTACCTGACCCCCGCTAGTCACTGTCAGACCGTCCCGTCAGACCCCCCCCGATGACCCATACGTACATCGTAGTATGTCGACTTCCCTGGGCCGGTGCTGCCTCAGCTTGCCCTGGCGGACCCCTGTCTACGGTTTCTGCTTCGCTGAGCTATGTGCCTTGCCGTGCCTTGCCCGCTTGCCTTGCCTGGCCTTGCCTGATCTGGGTCGCGTGAAGGCAGAGACTGGCCCTTTGCTAGTAGCTCCATCCTGAAGTCTTCAGAGTGCCTTGCCGCGACCACCTCACCCCTCCCCCCCCCGGGGGGTGCATCTACTATGTACAATCTTCCCTACCTTACCTCCCACCTAATGGTCCTAACCAAAGGTAAAGCAGGAAGTAGATACGCAGGCAGGAGGGAGGTAGCTTACCGTTGCACCCATGTTCCTTGGTGTCTTATCTTTTTTCACGACTCGGAATGGGTCCTTGACGTGCCGGGTCCTCGTTGACCTCCAGGCTGCAAGAGTATAAGGCTGCTGGCCTCGCTCGCTTTCTGCTTGGTCCCGCTCTCTGCCTATTCACCAATCCCATCTGCATCTGCATCAGTTTATTAGTTCCAGTCCCCGACACTCTTTTTCCGTTTTGCTCTTCATTCTGTTGCATCACTTCATACTAGCTGGATCTGAACAATTGTCCACCCCCCCCAGCACATATATCACCGTCACCCTCCTGCCTGGTGATTCCCTCCAAACTTCATCCGCATCAACAACACACCTCGGCAGCCTCTGCTATTGAGACTACCTACACACACGCAACAAAGAACAAGAACAGCAAAGGGCTCGCTGACTACACGAGTTTGACTGACTCACACTTGACGCACCAATTGACAAAGCCGCTTCCATAAGATATAGCAAGGCTAAACCCACCAATATCGGCGCCTTCAGCCCCTCATATTTGCCTAAGTTTTGATACTAGGAGAACCGCTTTGTGACCGAAATCCTCAAAATGTGCTACCAAGTCGTTGAGTTATACTCGGCATGCAAGTGCCTGTACTACAAGCACGCCGTCGACCGATGTGTTTCCTATGGACGCAAGGGCCATTACACGGAGCAGCGAACCATCTACGTGGGATACGCTTGCGCCGTCCACACCTCAAGCTACAGCCAACCATCTGGCAACTACTCATACTCAGACTCTGGCTACTACAGCGGCCGGTCACACACGAGCTATCGGTGAAGAATACTGCCCCCGGTTGTGGGACAGCGAGGCTGTCTCTTCCCGCCCTTGGTCCCCTTCCGGCTTGATGGATGGATAGGGTTTCTGAGCTCGCTCAACCCATCGCAGCTTTCGCTGTTGCTTGCGAGGTAGTCATTGCCACCACTCCCTCTTCTCTCCCCCTTGGCCCAAAGCTACGACGGGCTGGGGGGGGAGGGATTGACGAAATTGTCGGACCGCACGCTCACACTGGTCTGCACGAATCATGCTTCATGGGATTTCATGGAGGAATTGGAAGAATGGAAATGGAAACGACTTGAACGCGAAGTGGGCTGATACTCGCTCTCCTCAATGCCAGGACAGGCGGTGTCTCGGCAAACACTACGGCAGGACCATGCTCACGAAGCTTTACGATGGATGTACTTTTTTTCCTTTTTTGCTTTTGCTAACTTTGCTCTGGGCTGGATTATGGGTATCTGGAGGCGTGTCATGGCCTCCCTTTTTATGACGATTTGACGGAGATATGCATAGCGTTTGGGAATTTTTTTCGGTCTCGGGTTTCTTCTCTCTGCTCTCTCTCTTTTTCCCTTGGATTTCCCCCTCTTCATCTCTCTCTCTCTCCTCTCTCGCTTTTTTGTTTTCCCCTACTGGATTTGGAAGTTGGCAATGAACGTCTACGAGGATTGATATGGATTACGACCTTCAGCCCTACTTGGAATTCCGGTTGCCTTTGGGTAACTCTATGTCTTTCTTCTTCTCGATCTCGACTCCTTGCTGTTTGGAAGGGGGAAAAAGCTGCGAGCCAGCTGGTATGGCTCGATGGAACACGGATTGGACGCGGCCTAGATCTCTCGTCTCGACACCGAACTTAATTTTCTTGCATATGGAATGGATAGATTTGCTGGGAAATGAATGGGCTGGGCCTTGGGAGAATTTTCCATTGTTTTTTTTCGACACTGTTTTTCTGCGGTCAATGTTTTTTCTTTGTTTGTTTGTTTTGCTTTTCGACTCATTCCGACGTCTTCCTCTCGATTTCTAATACAACCCGTGCTGGATATGGGTGTGTACCTTGTGGAAAAGATTCGTCACCAATCGACAGAAAATCTACAAGAAACAGGACTTTTTGAGCGCTGGATGCTCACAGACAGATGACACATCAATCAATCAATCATTGAAGTCAAACTCATGCTACCTCTTGCTCCCTTCTGTGACATGTGAATACTACGATACATCAACCAACCGTTGAAGTCAAATCTATGCTACTTCTGTGACATGTGAGTACTATGATACGCCATTGCTCCCGGGCACAGGGCGTGAACCTCAAGATGCCTTGCTCTCACTAAATTAAAGTGTCAATTCAATAGCATGACGTGATTTCGTCCGCCGTCGTGACGGGCTCGTTAGGCAGTCGTTAGACCTGAAGTTGGCGCGGTTATTAATAGAGAGGTTCAAATGCCAAATCGGGAATTGGAAGATGATCCAGCACACCCCCCTGCTCTTCTGTGGCGCGCACCTGATCTTTGCCACATCTGTCTCGTTAGGCGTTTTTTAAGCAGCCCCTGCTCGAGGGTGCCCTGGGGTGGTGTAGGGGCTCAGTTGCTGATTAGCTGCGCCAGCCGGGATGGGGGAACGGCTTAGGCGCGGTCGGGCGATGTTCTGCCCAGCTCAAGTGGGCGCACTGGTTGGTGACAGGGCCGATCACGCGCGGCAAATTACACGCCCGGCACTTGGGCTGGCGGATTTTGGGGCCTTTTGGGGGGAGTTCTCGGTCCTGGGATCCGCACACCTGCTTTCCCTCCCCCCCAAGGCGATGCTCGGGCAACTCTGCGCGCCCGGGGAAGAGGGAGGGGGGGAACTTCTGAGCTGCCTTTGCCCGTGGGAACGAATGTGACGGGCCGCCCTTGGTGGCATGTCCCGAAAGGATTTGCCGGGTTGAGTCACGCGTAACGGCCCCCAAATTCATGGGATGGGCGTTTGAGCGAGCTGGGGAATCATGAAAGCCGCGCTAAATGAGCATTTGCGGGAGAGGAGAGAGGCGGTTGGGATGGGTGAGTTACATCTGCTCCTTTGCTGGAACCCTTCACCCCCGGTTTATCTGGGTTGGTTTCCGAGCTGTTTAGCTGCTTTGGGCAGTGTGGAGCGGACGGACCAGGCAGCACAGGCGCCTTTGCCCGGGACTGGAAGGAAGGAGCTTGGGCTTGGGGGAGTGACTACCGTTTGTCATGATTTCCGGGCTTGGGTCTGTCGAGCTCTTGCCATCGGTCTGGCAGGGGAAAGCAGGGAAGGGAGGAGAAGGAGTTGATGTCGTTCCATTCATGGATCCCTTCCCTTTGGTTGTCGGAGCCCTCGGTGGTGTTGCTTGATTAGGTCAATGCCTGGCCTCGGAGGGCTATCCACTATTGAGGTTGGGATCCGGTGGGCAGATGATGGGAGCTAGGCGGCCGAATCAGCTAACGTTTGGAAATTCATGATTGTCAATGGAGCGAGCCATATTTGTTTAGGGTCGGCGAGAGGGAGGAGACGGGTTCGACGGACGATGGCAGGATTGTAGATGGTTCACGGACCAGGACGGTTGATGCAAGGCAGGTGCTGTCTACCCTACGCGCTGAGCACCTTCCCTGAGATCCATGGATAGATATCAGACATGGGGAGGAAGTCTCAGTGGGATAGCCTCACCTATTAAACGACCCAGAATTGGCCTACTTGATAGCTCCTACCGGTTTTTGATCTATACTGAGGCAGGTAGGTAGGCCCTCAGCTATCAAGAATTCCTCACCTCGGAATGTTTACTCTTCCAAATCACAGCAATATCCCTCTTCTTGTATCGCCTTTTCTTTTCATCCTTGCCTATTATTTGATTGAGAACCGATCCCTTCCTTCAACAGCTTTACCACGCACTACTCCCTGGACATTCACCTATTCCCTTGCCCTCTTCTTGCCATTGTATCACAAAGCTATGGTTGACTAAACCAGGACCCTCAAGGTGTTCATTACACCCCCCTAAGCTATTAGATTCGATCAGGGGCTTTTCGATGATTTTCTAGTCTCCCATACATCTCCTTGGGTTGAAGAAAAGAGCGACGCTGAGAATAGGCGCGGTAGACAATCAAAAGCACAATTCTTCTTCCTAGCTTGGCCGTAGCGCGCAGCACTATTAACATGGAGACTGGTGATTTTGATAACACCCCAGCGCCGAGCACTCGGCCATCACTGGCGATTCTGCGGCCCGAAGAAGATGATACGGGATTGTCCATTGCTTCTTCTCACCAAGGCTCGACTTCATATCGGCACCATCTCTTGAAGACTGTCACTGGCGGCTCTTTTATTGCAGACAGAAACCTGCCTGTCCCGCCGATTCTTAGCTCGTACTCCCTCCCGAAGAGCGTTCATGCCATAATAGATGGTCCCAAGCTCGAGAGAGAAAACCAGTCGTTTAGTGCCGAGCAGCAGATAAAAGCACCAGCTACTCCGCCGCCCGCGCCAATTCCCGGAAAACGCGGAGCCCCTCAGCAGACTCCAAAGCCAGAGAGAGATGTTTCGAGTCTTCCCTTGACTGAGATGAAGCAGAGAGCTCTAGAGCACAGCAGAAATCGTTCCCGAAACACGGAGTCAAGCGTTGACAACAGTTCGACACGAGATTCTGTGCGTCTTTCATCCACCGTTGGAAGAAACTCTCCAGTTTCAGACCAAGTGTCCATACGAAGCGGCGAGACTCATGAGACTCGAGCTGATGGGAGTGCCTTAGTCACCAAAGTGTCCGTTACCGTCCCCAGGATACAAGGCCACAACCCAGTGGTCAAGGTTCGCCCTGCCTTTGACCAAGTATCTCTATTTCCAGAAGCAGACAAAGCACATGAATATGTTCCCCGATCTGTTGAGAAAGTTGGCCCATTTGTCCCCGAGCTTAACAAGCATTCAGAGGTTTCAAGCACACCTTCTAGCCAAATTCGCCTGTACCCAACTCAGTCTGAGACCCCACACCAACAGAGTGAGAGTATTTCGAAGTTTAATGTCGAGAACAACCCGGATTTGGGTACTAAGAAGTACGAATCGCTTTCAAAAGTCCGACCCTTTGATCACACATATTCAAAAGGATGTTACTCTCATGAAATTGAAAACGATGCCAGGCCTGGCGTGGGGTTTAGGGGCACAGACGACGACCCCTTGAGCTCAAACACCTAGGAGGAAGCAAAGAGGCCCATCGACCAAAAAGACCAGTCATCAACGCCAAACATTTTGAACAGCACAGAACATGCTCTGGATGAGTGTGAAATTGCAAATGGCGAGTATCAACTGCAAAGAAAACGGGTCTCGGGGCAACATTCGATTCGAAAGGATGAGACCTTCCCAACAGAAAATGAATTTGGTACACATTTAATAGAGGTACGTGACTTTCGAGGTACTGAAAAGAAAGATGCACAATCGTTTTACCATAGATATATAAGCCCGGCCTAGCTCTATTAAACTTAACACATATGGATCCTGGCCTGGGAGACTGACTGCTATTGTGACTTAGGAACACGGAGAGGAAGCAGACTTTGTAAACCCTACGACAAAAGGCAGTGAAGCTCAACATGAAGTCTCTCAATGCAATGTATGCCCTACCTCTGTGGAAAACCGTCAGCATGAATGGGACATTTGCACGACAGTCTCAGCTGTGGAACAAGCAGCAGGAGCTCATTCTATCCAGGAATGCGCTCCCTCCAAAGACGCCAAAAGCATCGAGACTAATCAGCATAATATGTCTGATTGCCAAGGAGATGAGCGCGAGCTCATGATTATTACGAGCGGAGAGCCCCTCATCGCTAAACATCAAAATAGTCAAGACTCTGGAAATGGAGAAAACGGCACGGATCAAGAAGGGAGCAACCCTTCAGAAACTAAAAATGGTCATCGTAACGCTCTACAATGGATTAAACAGGTGTTTCGACAGCGTGGCTCCAATGAAAGCGCCCCTACGAATTTCACCGTGATGGGGCACAATCGACGAAGGGATTCCGAGCCTTTGAGAAAGACATCTGATCGAAATACCCTACTGGCCGGAAGCTCATCTCAATCAGCCAAGTCCGGCACAGGCATTGATGAGGCTGGATTTACACAAGCAGTGAGTGATTTAGAGAGGCTATTTGGCGAGGCCATCGCCGTCATATCGCAGGCGGTTGAACACTCTGAAAAGTTTTGTAACCAAAGGATACAGATTCCAGAGCATGAGCGATACCCACGCGCCCAAAGCCTCGGCAATCATCACAGATTCCTAGAAGCGGCCTCGAATTCTGGAGGTCGACGGCTATCCGAGATGGAACTTATTGAGATATTTCCTCACAGGGCAGAGACTGCACCCACGAGAGACTCTACAAACAAGACATCATTGGTTGTTCCAAATCGAAGATCAAGTTGGAAAAAATCCCCGTTAGGCCGTCATCAGCCTGCCAATTCTCACCAAGGGATTCCCATTCGCGAGCAGGCATCATCTTGTTCAATCTCAGGTGCTGTGTGCGACGTATTGGAAGTGGTCGAATTTAGTCGAGACGATAGAAAAACAACCTCGAACAACACTGTCCGTAGAATCACACCCCCCGATCATCATTTGTCAGGTCGCAAGGAACTTGCTGGGGATAACACCCTGCCCGAAAGGGATGTTGCTGGACGCCAAATGAACCATGACCATGGGATAAATCTGCGTCATAGGTCCCATGTGAGCCTTCGAGGTCTCCAGCCCTTCAGTCTTGCTCGGTCACACAAAAGGCAATCGATTGCTCGAGATTGGTCGCCAGTACGCAAAAGATTTGTCGCGACCGTTGCTTGCATCAGTACCGCACTAATCGGGCTCATCGTGGGAATATACTCTGGCCTGGTTCCAAAGATACAGTATTATATCATCGACGAGTCGCACCTGGCCGTACTTGGAAACGCAGGCTGCTTCCTAGGTCTGGCCATACCGACTTTCTTTTGCTGGCCATTGCCTCTTCTGCATGGGCGCAAGCCGTATATCTTGACGAGCCTAGCGCTAGCGATGCCGCTCCTGTTTCCCCAAGCTCTGGCTGTTGATTCACAGCGAATAACTAACACGGGGTCTTGGAGAGCCTTGCTCCTCGCCTCAAGAGCTCTGATGGGTGCGTCCCTAGGCTTTGCAAGTATGAACTTTCATTCGATTCTCACGGATCTGTTTGGTGCATCTCTGATGAGTGCGAACCCACATGAGGAGGTTGTCGATCGCTACGATGCCAGAAGACACGGAGGAGGAATGGGAATCTGGCTAGGAATTTGGACCTGGTGCTGGATTGGATCCTTGGCAGTCGGATTTCTAATCGGCGCAGCCATCATAAACGAACAACCTCCAGCCTGGGGCTTCTATGTCAGCATTATACTCATTGCGATGGTACTCATTCTCAACATCATCTGCCCCGAAGTCCGAAGATCAGCATACAGACGGTCAATGACTGAAGTAAGAACTGAAACAGATATTTCAAGACGTATTGCCCGCGGCGAAGTGATGATGCATCGTGTCAGGACAGGGCCGAAATGGTGTGGCCAAGAAGTCTTCCATGGGGTGCTTCTATCATTAGAAATGCTACACCAGCCTGGATTCGCAGTATTAGCTCTCTATGTTGCTTGGATTTATGCGCAGATCGTTTTGACCATCATCCTACTTGGTTCGCTCACCTCAAAGATCTATCGACTTCAATCACCATACGTCGGCTTCCTTGTTGGTTCTGTGGCGCTGGGGGCATTACTGGCTATACCTTTCCAAAAAGCTAGTTTTTTCTCTCGATCGCGAGGATCAAGAGTCAACAGCAGCCGGGCAACTCTAGACAGAAAGCTTTCATGGACATCTCATCTTGGCCGGCGTGCTGTTTTTACGTCGTTGTTACCGGTGGCTGGGGGTTGCTACGCAGCTGCATCAACGGGACCCCCTCTTCATGTCAGTGTTCCAACTCTTCTGGCTTTCGGTGTTGGTTTCCTTTCGTCTCTTGCGATATCCGAATGTAATGGAATCATCATGGAAGCATTTGACACCTCAGATCTGTGCCCTGGGATGACGGGCCGACAGAGAGACCCGTCGGGGGACATGGGGAAGCGAATCAACTACTCATCCTTTCCACGAGTTACTTCAGGGTACGCCATAATACATACTTTTGCTTTCATTCTATCTGCATTCTCGACAGCGTTGGGTGGTCTCATGACAAGAACACTGGGTCAAAGGGTCAGCTCAGGAATCGTGGCGGGAATCTTGTTTCTGCTGACGATGTCACTTTTACTCGTCCTCATTCGATTCAAGAATGTGCAAATTATCCCAGACTCCAAGACTGAGGAGATGGAGAAGATTGTTGACGCACGCCGAAAATCTATCGCAAAAATTGAGACAATCACAGAGGAAGGACAGGACATTTTCGAAGCTGATGAGGCATGGAAACCAGCCATGATGGGGAACCCTGTCAGCGAGCTCCGGCGAATGAACGTCTTGGAATTCGGGAGCATGAGCCGATGGCAGGAGATACGTAAAAGAAACAAACTCATCGATGAAGATGCTCACCTGTGTAACCGGACCGCGCTTGGTGAGGGGCTGGAGGCATTGGATGATCATATGAGCGAGCTTCGGAGGGATGCTCACGAGTTGTTGAGAATGGCGAGCCTCAAGAGTCTCAAGGGCAAGCGCTCCAGACTGTTTCGTCGAAGCGATCAAGGAAGCGACAATTCCCATCAGCTAGAAATGGACAACCTAAGCACTGGAGGAGAAAGCATCGAACAAACTTCTGGCTCACAATTCCAAGAGCGGGACCTTGGTAGTCGTACGGTCCTTGAAGAGGACGAAATTGAAGGCACAAACTCACACCAAGTGCGGGACAAGTAGATTCAAAGATGGTATATGGAGAAATGGAATTTTTGGCCGACTCTGGTGGCCAGAGAGCGTGTGGGTAAAGTTGTGAAGGTCAAAGGGAAATCGCTTGTTCTCAGTGCCCTATATCCTCCTATACTCATGAAATAAAAATGCCAATAAATAAATAAAAAAACAAAACATAATTCGTCCGACTCATTTGATTTTAAACTTTACATGGATGGGGGAGTTGTGACTCCACATGCAAACCTGAAAAGCTATACATACACATGCTATTTATTCTTATGCGATCCAGTACGCCGTGTAAAGAAGGTCTTAAAGATAGTGAGAAACGAAAAACAGAAACCATGACGAGGGCGACTATCCCATGAAATGTATCTTTATTGAATTTGGTGATACGAATCGCGTCCTCGCCGAGTTGGGGTCACTCTCGGAAGCCAGGATGACAAAGAGGGGGTTGACGACTCCCTCGGCGCAGACTGCTGCTGAGGAGGAGGGTTGGGCTCGTTGCGGTGCCACCTCTGCTGAACTGAGGATCGGTGGGCGGCCGTCCCCAGGCTCATCTGGGCGGCGCGGTTGGTGCCGAGGCGCTTGGCGAGGAGGGACGAGCCGCCCGGGGAAGGGGGCAGGTTGTCCTGGACCTGGGCCTGGGCCTGTGTCTGGGCCTGACCTGCGCTCGGGGGCCCGTAGTGGGCTGAGGGGATCTGGGTGTTGAGCTGGGGGAGGTTGCGGGCCGGGTAGGGCGGCTGCTGCTGGGAGGAGTAGTGCTGGCAGGAAGGGGGGTAGTGGCCCGGGTATAATGCTTCTGCTGCCGCCGCTGCCGCTGCCGCTGGGGGAGGTTGGCGGTATGAGCGGGAGGTGGAGAGTTGCTGGCTGAAGAAGGGTTGGTGGTAGGGCGCGGAGGGGACCTTGTCCTTTGGGTTGGAGGGGAGGTAGCGCGGCGGCTGGGAGGATCCGGACGCGTTAGAGAGGGAGTGTTGGCTCTTTGAGTTGGTCAGGGAGCGGCTGGTGCGGACGGAAGGCCATTCGCTCTCGGGCTCGGGGGAGGGCTCGACGACCCTCATTGTCTGCTGCTGGGGGGAGCCGGTCCGGAGCATGGCGGGGTTCTGCCACGGTCTCTTGACGCCGTGGGGTTGGTTGGTGTAGTGGGAGACCTGGGCGGGACGCTGATGCTGGGCTGGATGCTGGATGACGGGCTGCGGGTGCTGGTTGTGGTAGATGTCACCTAGTGTTGGGCTGGGTTGGCCAGGGGGATCGTTTAGGGAGGGGCGTCTCGGTTGGGGAGCTATGCCCGTGGAGGCATTGGAGGCGAGCCTCGATGGGCGCTCTCGAGTTTGGACGGGCTGGCCCGGGTTCATGGAGAACGGGGACTCGAAGACGGGAGAGAGCCCCGATGACTTCTCGGGGGGCGTTGGCGGCTTGGACTCGCCCGAGGAGCTGGCGCCGCTGCCAGAGGACGTCTCGAAAGCATTGAAGGAGCCCCGGTAGGAGTACGATCCTTGATCGGTGCGGATACGGAAGGCCGGGTTTACGGCGGACGGCCCGGGGCGCGAGAAGAGAGGCTCGGGGATCTGGTGCGGGTTGGAATAGTTTCGATCCTTTGGAGGGGGGATCTTGGTGACGTTCTGGGACTGAGTGGACTTGGTAACCGTTGGAACCGGCGGCTGCTGGTGCGACCTGGTCCCTGTTGAGATAGCAAGACCAAGTCTGCTGCTCGTTGACAATGGCCTGCTGGTGCTGGATGACAAGGAGCGCGCAGATTTAGGCTCGCGAGGACTAAGGGCAGCGCCCAGTTCGGATTCAGCAAGAACCCAGTTCCCGCTCTTGTCCCGTACATAGACCGGTGCATCTGATCTGGCACCGCCCGAAGGATGTTTCCAGAACTGCAAAACATCCTGCGCCGGGTTCGCATCTTCCTCAAACTGAGTTATGTTGCTATCCCGCGCATCAGGTGCGGTCTGCTCCGCTTCCTGCTCACTTGGAATCTGGATTCTCAGTGGGATGGGAAACTGGGACTTATTTTGGGGCTCCAGGGGAGACACCAAGCCACTGTCCGCAGGATGCGGCTGTTGTGGTTGACTCACAGCGGGAGCAAGATTAGAGGTAGGTTGATATGCCTGGCCCGCTTCGAGCTGGCTGGGCGAGGCATAAGAAGGGCCCAGAAAAGGGGCCATCGAAGGTTTCGCAGGGAGCAGTTTCGACATTCGCCTTGACCTCGGGGAGGAAAATGCAGACTCAGAGCTTTCTACTTTTCGAATTTCTTGACCCGGAGGAGGTGGTGGTGTCCTTGTTGCCCTCCCTGCTGATAAGAAATTAGGTCTGGCATCATGGTGGTGACGGAAAGGGGGAGGGTGAGGAATCTGGCTCATGCCGGGCGATGGGCGGGGTGGATTGGGATCCCAGCGGCGGTCGTCGACATCGTAACTGCCATTCCCACCGCTCAAGTAGGCAAACGTGCTCATTCTCCTGTGGTGGTCCTGGTCATTGTGGAAGTGCTCAGGAGGAGGTGTTTCTGCGCGGTTTCGCCGCCTGTAACATCTGATCAACACCACGGCGCCAATAGCAAAGCTTGCGGCAACAGCAGCGCCAACAGAAATACCGGCGATTTGCCCTTTGGTGAGAGAAGGAGAACCGCCGCCAGCTCCTGCATCGTCAGAAGTGCCCGTCCCAGTTGGTGGCACTGCAGCACCATTAGATGATGTCGTGGAGCCAGAGTTCGTTTCAGTCGACGAGGCAGTCGAAGAAATCTGGGTCGTTGAGGTCTCAGAAGATGTGACTGTGGATGAGCCTGAGACTGCACTCGAGTTTGAGCTTGACTCGGAAGATGTCGACGAAGTCTTCCCAGAGCTGCGTCCAGAAGATGACCAACTGGTGGGAGACGGTTTCGTCTCAGTGATCAAGGTTGTTGGCAGGGTCTGACGAGAAGTGGTCGAAGTCGATTCTGATGTAGTAGTTGTCGTAACCGGAGGGAACTGAACATAGTCTCCGCTGACAGTTGGAAGAATTAGGGAGGCAGTAATAACGGAGTGTGTGGGAGTAATGGCATTCTTCTGGCCATCACAGATGTGGTAAACAGTGTCCATCGCGGTATCTAGTCAAGCCGTTAGCTACCCAAGCCATTGAATCCGATGCATCCCTAGTCAAATCCAAGCCTCCAGAGGGCAATTAACTAACCGCTTGCCACAGATTCTGAACAACCGCCGACTCTCTTTTCTGCTGCCAGGCATTGCAGAGCGCCCTCGCCCAGCGTATAAGGCGTTGCGCCGCGGGCAGAACAGAGACATTGTAGCGAGCGACTGGCACACAGGGTGCTACCGTAATGCACATTCACAAAGGAGTTCACGCATGCTCTAGCGCAGCTAGGGATAGCCGTATCGTAATCGCTCGAGGCTTGGGGGCCGAGGGCGTGGAGGAAGGTGGACTGAATTAAAAGAAGGAATAGGATGTAAGGACTGGGCACGACGGCCATTATAAAAGAGAACATCTGGAGTGAGATCGAGACGAGTTAGCATCCGTGGAAGACGGGACGTCTCTCGAATGGGTTCCACCGCATAACATAGCAGCCGATATCATGGTGAATGGCCGGCGAGCATGTCAATATGGCCATGGCAGGCTTGCTCATGAGACTATGAGACTGCAACCCGGCAAGAAGGTCAAGTTTCTTGGAGGCCAGAAGGAAGAAGGAAGAGAAGGTGGAGGATGGGGAGAGTACTATACCTAAGAAAGTAGAAAAGGAACAAACTGAGACGGCCAGCATCCCAACATGTTTCACACGCAGACACAAGAAGCCCCAGAAGAGAAAAGGAAGTGACCGAAAAAAAAGGACGGACGGTTGCAAACAACTCGCTGGCGAAGGACAGGAGGGACAAAAGAAAGCGAGGTTCGCAGAACACCCGGGGACAGAAAAGGAAATGAGAGGAGGAGGACGAGCGGTCATGATGGAAGCTGGAAGGGAGCGGGCGGCTATTAGGCTCGCCACGGTGTGGAGGAGATGAGGACAGAGCAGGATAGAGGCTACGGGATGGGTGATGGGCACGCAGCTTTGATGGGACCGGCAGCCAAGCGAAGCGCTCACCAGCCGTCTGCCGCCAGACTATGATGCAGGCGAGTGCAAGGGCCGGGCAGAGCAGATCGGTCGAGCGATGTCATGTCCATGTCCATTTCCATATCGGTGGGCAGGACAGGGATCTGGTGGCTGCGGGTCTGATGGACGGTTGGTTGGGAACCATCCGGCGGTTATGCACGTCTCAGCTGGCTGCCATTCGCGGAACGATGCTGCACGCTCTTGGAGTTGGAGCTGAGCTGCACGTCTAGGCGCCTGTGCATTGCATCCAAGCGCGCATCCCCCCAGCCATCCCCGTTTATTCCACCAGGCACTGGGCCGGATGGGCACACGAGGAGGTGAGGTCGTGAGCTGGCCATCAGGAATAGAAAAACCGTCCTATTTTCCACTGCTGGCAGATGGAGAAGGCGGTCGGTCTCGTACGGTCGGCCGATTCTCAGCGTCCGACAGGGAGATATGCAGCAGGTCTTTTCCCTACTGCATCTATGGCCGTAGAACGACGACGATCCAATCAGCTGCACGTGATGGGGCTGGCCACCCCAACCTGCCATTGCCATCCAATGGATCTCGGCCTGCGCCATCCGCCTCCAACACCTCATGCGATGGAAAAGAAAGTAATGGCGGGACTGCTGCCTGCTCTGCCTATCTGCGTTTGACAAGTTGGCTATGGCAGCTGGGTTGTGGGCGCGGGCGTCTCTGTTCTACTATATCGATCGCTATGTAAGAGACACGCTGGCGATCAAACAACCCTAGATAGACTCATTCACTTGTGGTTGGAATTCCAAGGATCAAAGTGTCCGGCACTACAGACTTTCCATAACCCCCTGCTAGGAACCAAATTATTGACCATTTCCGTTTGAGGCCGTTTGGGGGCTATCAATCAAAGTCGACAAGGAGGTTTAGCCGCCCTGATGCAACCAACCTTACCGTCACAAACAAGCGTAATTAGCACGTGCAGCACTAGTATCAGCTTCAGGGGAGTGTTCTCTTCTCTGTCAGCACATGGATTGGGGAAAAGAAAGAAAAAGACTTGATTCTAATGTCTGCGGCCGTGTTGCTTCTCCGCTCTCACTCTGCCGTCTGCTGTACGGGGATATATATATCAATATGTCGTTCCCATCAACAACTCCTCCAGCTCATCCTGCCCTAACCAAGAAAGGAAGAAACAGAGAAACAGAAGCAGGAAAACACGCGGCGCGCCGGCTGCCGGCTGAAGTCAAGATGGAGATTCCAATGCTCAGTTGAGAATGAATAAACAGAACAACCCTGGACGCCAACACCAATTAAATCCCTCCCCACCTCCTCCATCCATATGTCAAAAATACCCAGAGTCAGTCAAGGAAGTTCACGTGCCTTCAAAGACTACTAGTCTAGTGCCACAAATGCCACCACCAAGTTGAGCGTATTGGCAGCGACGTAATCCATGGAGCCATGAGAAAGCCAAGAGTTGGGGGTGGCGGCTATGCTCTTACATTGCCATCTCAGCACGAAGCTTTTCCAGCTCTGCTTCTGCGTCATCCTCCACAGGTTGTTTCCTTGAGGACACGGCTGTTTCATTTGCCTGGTTAGCGCGGGTTTTGATGTAGTCGCCGTGGCGGCATGCTGGCACTTACGTTCTGTATTTGCAACCGTGGGCAGCTTGTGAACGGCATCTGATACGGGGACGTTTCCGGTCTTGAGTATCTGCTCGTCGAGTTGTTCCTGCTGTAGTAATTCGAGCTCCTCATCCAGCTCGCCTTCGTCGATGAGGTCCTGTCCTCCTGAGTTCGCCATTATATCGACAATCTCCTTACTCATATTGTTGTGTTCCCTCAAACCTTCCCTGTAGATGAGCACCACAATTAGTATCAAAGAGAAGGACCACAGAGCCGTAATTTCCAAGGACGCCAACATACATAGTCTGGTCCACCTTCTCTGGTGTAAGGTTCCGGTAGATCTCCTTCATGGCGCCATTTGCCTTCTCCATGGCAGCCAGCGTCTCCCTATTGATGTTTGCCGATTCGATCGAGTTGATCTGCTGCTCCAGCGTTCCTATCTGCGTAATCGTCTGCTCGAGGGAAGACTCGTGGGTCTTCTTCCGCCTCAGGGCTGCCTTGGCCGCTGTTGAAAGTATACAAGTCAGTTCTCTGGCGTCCCCTCACCCCGATGCCAGGGGTGACCGCCACATCCAACTTACCGGTCTTGTTTGTCGTGACGTTCTTGCGAGCAAGGGCCTCCTGCTCCTCGATCTGAGTCATGAGATGCTTCTCACGCTTCGTGAGCATATCGAGCTGCGACCGGAGGTCGAGGATGGCACTCTTGGGTGCATCCTTGCGCTTCTGCGCGGCGGCACCGCCAAACCAACCCCACATCCTGATAGGTATCGAAGTCTAAGTCGCGAAGAGGGTAGCAGAGGGATAGACGTTTCCGAAGCCCGTCAAAACCTCGGCGCTCGAGAGTCTGCGTTTGATGCTGTCGTCCGGAGCCAAAGCTGTGCGGGATGGATCACCGTGGTGATCGGGGGCGAGATTAGGTCGATGGTGGGGTCAAGAGGAAATCGCGTAGAGGGCGGTCACACTCCGGCTCTCTGCAGAAGCTAAGGTATCGAACCGCACGGTGTTTGAAGGCTGCAGCGATGGAAATAAATCCCCCACGTTGTTGTCGAGTCGGTTTGTCGAGCAAATAGGCTACCAGCGTTGAGCCGGGGGTATGGTCAGTCAGTCGTAAGTAGATGTCTCATTCCATTACGTTGCCAAGTATGACGGCACCGCCGAGGGTGTGATTGGGTTAGGCAGCGCTTTACTGGGATTAGACTCGCCGTAGTCATGTGACCCCCACCGGGATGCTCACCAGCCAGCGCCTCGTGACAGATAAGGACCAGCTGCTAATATCATTGAGCTCCGTGGTTGAGAAATAAGATAAAGCCATTATGACCCAACAAACCTATACTCATAAATTCACTATTCGGGTCGCATCTCCCAAGACAGCACTTGTTCCTGCCCGTGTTATAGATTATGTACCGTCCTCAGAACTCCGATAGAGAAAAGACAAACTCAGATGGTCCGTTCCTTGCCCATTTACACTCCCAGCATATATTCGCTCCTCACCCGTGGTCCCCGTAATGAGAACCAGAATCTATCTTACAAAAAGAAAGAAGAAGAGAAAAAGGACATTCACTCCGAGCCCAAGGCTGAAGATATACTGCCCCCATACTCATAGAGACCTGTGAGATGGAAAAGTACAGTCGTAGGTCAGTGAAAGAGATTCGTGATAATAACAATCCGCTGCGTATCGACCATGGTCGACACGTGATCGAAGCTTGGGAGCGTAGACTCAATTGTGGCGCCATCCCTGATCAAAGGTTCAGGCTGACCGTCAGGGCTCCGCATCGAGCTTTGTATCGACCAGACCCATGGAAGAGCAAAAGAGATTGAGTTCCAGATATCAAGGAACTGCCTCATTATGCGGCTTAAACCATGTTGCCCTTCTTCTCTGCCGTGTCGATATGCCAAACGACATAGTTAGGGAGACCAACAACCTGGTATCCGGCGCGCTTGGCCATCTTGGCGAATCCTTCAGTCTCGGCCTGATTTTCAAAGGCGTAGCTGGGGAAGTTGATGCCTATTTTCCTTGTTAGCCAAACATATTTGTTATTGTACCCGCAGTGCACACATACCTGATCGATGAACATCCGCCTTGACGACAATGTTGACACCGCCAATACCGTCAAGCTCAAGTTCCTCATCTTTGTTTTCCCTCCAATCACCCATCAGGCACATGTAGGTTCGGCCGGTCTGATATTGCTTGTAACCTGAATGACTGTCAATAGGTGTTTTCGGAGACGGTGCGTGCATTACTGACCTTCGGCAAGCACAACATCCTTATCAAGAGAAGAGGCCAATCTCAGACCCTTATCAGACTCAACCCAAGAGTTATAGTCAACTATTCCAATTCGTCAGTCTGAGCTCGTTCATCAAAGACGATCGCCGGGAACTTACATCGCCCTTCAATGTCAACGCCATTCTCGTAGCGGTGGAACCATACATCTAGGTAGACGGATGATTAGTAAAAGGTTATCAAATTTGTCGAGTTTGAACCTACTTGGAACCAGGATATCCTTGTCGTGGGCAATGAAGTCCTCCAAGATTGAAGCAGGGCTGTCAATGATATCAACGTCACGCCAGTACACCCAGGAGTGCTCAGGCTTAAGCGCAGCAGAAAGAAGATAATTTCTAGCCTTGCCCAGAATCTTGCGTCGTGGACCCTGAGCCTCAAACGAGTGTCTGTACTCGACGTTTTGGCTGAGGACGTAGCCGAAGTCTTTCTCAACAATCATCGCGGAGTGGAACGGAATCTGGTCGGGTCGCTGTTGGATTCGATCCAGCTCCGAGGCAAGAACAGCGAGGGTATCATCGGATGAATCGGAAACCAGGAAGGCCAGGTCAATGAGATGGTGGGGATACGTGAGCTCGGCGAGGAGTTCAAAATGCTTGGACAAGTAGGGAGCAGCATCCTTCAATGGGGTAACGATGAGAATCCTCTCCTCGTTGATGAGCGCCGTGCGGGTGGACTTGATCTTGTTCAGGTCGACGTGCTCGATGGTTTTCGAATCGACTTCGAGAGGTTTGTGGTGGTTGAAGAGCAGAGGGGTCTGGAGATGCGCGTTCCAACGGGCGTACTCGTTCTGGGACATCTCCATTGGTGGCTTTGATGGGCCCCAACAGTAGAAGCTGTCTACCGTTAGCGAGAGCATACCGTCATCCAGCGAGACAGTCTTACCTTTGCATTTCACCAGCAGAGCTCCTGATGCCACGCCATAGCAGCAAGACAATACCGGTAACAAGAACCAGCAGGATGAATCGCGTTCTAGCTACGACGTTCCACAATGCCCGCAGAGGGGGAAGGCGAGCCCTCGCGGCCTTCCATTGCAGACCACCCTTGGGGAGAAGCATTGTCGATTTACCGGGTGGCAGCCAGCCCTTCGCCACTTCAACGCCCAGCGTTACGCCTGTGTTTTAGATCGGATGCGATGGGTTTGGTCACCCCAAGACTCTCGTCCCTCTTCGATCGATTGTGAGGCCGGTAGATGACTGGGGATTCGAAGATAAGTAGTGGGTGCGACGGCAGCTTCGCGTGGACCAGGGACCGAAGTACCAAACCCAACTCCTGGACAGCTGAAGACTGAGAACCCGCAGAAGGATCTGAATGGCGCCAAGCGATTATGATCGATAAGCGAGGGACTGCGGAACGGTAAAAAAGAGTTGGGGTAAGCAAACTCGGTGCTCCAGTGATACGACGAAAGCCGGCTGTCGTGCAAAGTGATGCTTTAAACAAGAAGTACGCACGCAGCAATGTGCCAGGAGCAGGCGAAATCCCAAGATGCAAAGTGACACGAATCAGCGCCCGAAACGGCACAACCTGGACCCAGCCGGCCTTGGTCAGAACCAGGGGATTCGGTTCAGGTACCTCTGATGCCCCCGTATTCTGTGGCTAGCGCATGTACATGCTGTTTTACAGCATTAACCCCCAAAATTGATGCTGGACACTTCTTCCCCTGATAATGAGCTAGCTTGATCAAATTCACCTATGGCGCCATGGTCGCTTCCCCTATAACCCTATCAACATGTGTTATTTCGCCCTTGGACGCTCAAAAGGTGAAAATATCGATAGTAGATAGGTAGGTACTGCAATCGCCCAGGCATGGGTCAAGCACATGCAATCAAACCAATCATGTTTCTAATTATATAACAATGTTTTTGCTTGCGACCCATCCCACAATTAACGGATGCAGCCAACTGGGTGACATTGAAATCGGCACACTCGACCAGTTTCTTGATTATCCCTGAGTCTGTGATGGGCTCTTTTATAGTATTGGGCACCGAAAAGTATTAAATAGCGAATATACTGCCAATTATCAATGGCTGTTATTTTATACTATTGCATGGACTTACCTATGGAAAAAATGCTCTGCTAATTGCTGCTGTTCAATCTAATGTCTCAATTCTTATGTCACCCACAGCGCTTGGGTAACGCTATAACGAGCTGCATATAGCGGTTCCTCCACGTAGATGACGACGACAGACAGAAAATCATGCCTAGGGAATTTTACCTAGACGGAGAACCAGATTGTCTCGCAAGCATCGCTAAGAAACAGGCAACTTTTTCCTATCCCTGGGCTGAAACCAGCTGGCCGAATTGGACGGGTTGGCAGGCTTACGAGCATATGAATCAGGAAAGGGGAGAAGATGATCTTGAGTGCTTGGCAATTAGTAACCCGGAGCTGATCGCTCCGATAGTGTGTATTCATCTTACAAGGCGCTTCTTCTGTCACTGATGATCGTGAATGACCCCGGATTTTCCATCTGAACATCATCACCACGTACCATATTTGATGGATTCAAATTGATAACCCAGAGCTACACTATCTCCAATTTCTTTCAGAGGATTTAAAATAGCCTTTGGCCACCATTGGCCTTGCGTACAAGAATTGCATGCCTTACCTCTTCACGACAGCAAGAGCCAGTCTGACCCTTTATACAAGAACTGCACGAATTAAAGATCTTCCGACAATCTATGCAACAATGACAATCAGAAGATCCGCACGCATAAGTAGCCGGGGGAACGGAGTACAAGCACCGCCTATCTCGCAAACTACAACTTCACAAAAGCGGAAGCCTTCGCCAGAACCGCCCTCAACTCCAGCCAAGAAGCGCATCCGGCCAGTTGAGCCTGTGACACCAACACCCACGGCCGTGGGACTGATCACCGAGAATGGGGATCACAAGTTGGGAAAGAAACCCCGCAATGCCACTGTTACACGCTTAGCAGACCCAAACCTTTCCAACGCCACCTTGCTGTCGCCAGAAACATCAAGAGTCATTGCGTCCCGAGATATCGAGCTTGTGTCGCCTTCAAAGGCGTCCAGTGTCAGGACTACGACGGCAAACCTTCTAGAAGAGGCATGCGCCCACCTCATCAAGGTAGATGAGCGGATGCGACCCTTGATTGAGAAACACCACTGCCGGGTCTTCTCACCCGAGGGCCTGGCTGAGAAGATCGACCCGTTCGAGAGCCTGACGAGCGGCATCATCTCACAGCAGGTGTCCGGGGCCGCGGCCAAGTCGATCAAGGCTAAGTTTGTTGCACTGTTCCACAAGGACGGGGAGGAGGGGCCAGAGAAGAGGTTCCCGCTCCCGTCCGAGGTGGCGGCGTGCTCGGTCGAGCACCTGCGAACGGCAGGCTTGTCCCAGCGCAAGGCGGAATACATTCAGGGGCTGGCTGAGAAGTTTGCGAATGGTGACCTGAACGCGCAGCTCCTGCACGATGCGCCGTACGAAGAAGTGCTGGAGAAGCTCATCGCTGTTCGGGGGCTGGGGAGATGGTCAGTGGAGATGTTTGCGTGCTTCGCCCTCAAGCGGATGGATGTGTTCTCCCTCGGCGACCTGGGAGTGCAACGAGGCATGGCTGCCTTCGTCGGAAGAGACGTTGCAAAACTCAAGTCCAAAGGCGGCAAGTGGAAGTACATGTCTGAGAAGGAGATGTCTGAGCTCTCAGAGCAGTTTGCTCCATATCGTAGCCTATTTATGTGGTATATGTGGCGGGTAGAGGAGACTGATATCAGCACTCTAGAGTGATTTTATCAGACAACACCAGAGATGTACATCATGTAGAATATAAACATGTTTTTCTCCGCGTACAACACAACTCAGCTCCAATAGGGGCCAATTGGAGCACTCCGAGCAGCTACATGTGCGCCTATTGGTGGTTATGCTGCGTCATCGCGATACAGGCTCCATCGTTGTCTCTCGGCAACCTGCCCAAGAGTCATTCGATGTTATGGTCTTCTGTGCCTGCCGCCAGGGGAGGCCAGACTTAAGCTTCTGCCGTCTCATCTTCCAGTACGAATGATGAAACTACCATTTCGGCCCATTGTCTTTGCACTCAAGGGGAGCCTGGGAAGGTAAAAATATCTGCAGGCATACGTACGCATATGCACGTACGTACATAGGTGTAGAGGCCCGAATTGCTAGTGGTTTGAGGACGGGACTCCTTCTCCCACTTCATTGGACACAGGCGGGCCATTGCATGGAGCACTCGATATGCAGTCTCGGATCCTTGGAAGACGCCGATCCGTATGGGTCGGTCCTTGGCTTTCCTTACAGTACGAGATTCACTGTTTTGGAGCACCAATCACATGAAATGAAGATGGGCCAGGACTCCCACCCAAAGAGGTAGTGGTGCGGGCAATTCCTGCTGCTAGCCGCGCTGGCGATGATTGATTCATTGCTGCCCTGGAACTGGCTCAAGCTAGAAGCGATTGTTTGGGTAGCAACTACAACTGGACAACGGAGTAGTTGGCGCGGCGATACGTCAGACATTTGAAGCAACCCACATGGTGGGGGGGAAGAGAGAAGCCAAGGCACGGAAATTGTTTCGTAAGCATGAATTCTTATTTCCCATATCGATGATGTACGATGGATGGATAAAAAGCCCATTGATTCTGGCAGCATTTAGCATAAACAGGACTCTCACCCCCGCATGTGCGTTGCTTGATACTGAATGGGCGAACTATTTGCTTGGGATTCAATTAGCCTGCCACCATTCGAACTGAAGTCCCAGCAAGTACACGGCTTCGAAATCATTATCAATTAATAAATACCCATAGCGTGTGGTCTGCCAAGCAGGCCATGGCCTGCCTCTTCTGCCCTGTTTTGCCTCCCGCGATCCAAGCCATCCAGGCTTGTTGAGACGTCGGCGTATCCGCCAGGAGTAATGGTGCGCATTCCAAGGCCCAGAGAAACATGTGTGCAGCAGGTAAATAAGTAGGAAGCCAAAGTATCGTCTGCGCCATCACGTTGTTTCACAGAAGCAAGGGGGTGGGCACATAGCTAACGCCACGCCATCCAGAAGGCCTAGAAAGTGACTGGTCGCGATACTGTGATGTCTGCATCCAGCAGACTTGAGACATAATAAATCTGCAGAAATCCAGTCATGGCTGTGTTTATACTCGTTGCTAGAACACGCTGGCACCACTGATGCATGCAAGCAATCGTGAGATCGGAACCGGCAAATTGGCCCTTCTTCTGGCATCCATGGCACCGTATCTGGTAGATTACGGACAGGCCGGCTCTTTCTAGCCAAGAATTGGCAATGGCAGGTCCTTATTTCTGGATAGAGGACATCTCCCATGCACAACACCACTACGCACTACCTACCTACCTATATAGCTGGCGACTCTGGGCTTCAATGAGCACATCGAGGCACCTGCTAGTTCGTGCTAGACGAGAAAGGGGGCGTACTTGTGTGAGCTTTCGTCTTAGATCCGTTACATATCATGATGGCTTGCCGCAAGGGGGGCCCTTGTGGAGGGCACCTAACGGATGAGGAAAAGCGGCCACAACCTCTATCGGACGACCGAAGATGGGGCCAAATCTCGCCAACCGGCACGTGCATGATTATGGGCTTGATGTAGGTAGTATTCATTTTGACGATGGAGATTCACGGAAGCTGCCAATCTCTGTTTGGACGTCTAGTCCAGCATCACCGAGAAGGCAATTCACAATCGGCGACATCGATAATTCTCAAAAGCGCGGTTACCAGCTCGTCGAGTCAGGCACTGGCGTTGGGTAGTCCAAACCTTGTGCCTGGCCATTGTTATCGTCGTTGTTATCTTACGGGGCAGCTACTGTGCTGCAAATACTGTGTGGTCCTTGTCGTCGTTGCAACGGGCATGCACACCCAAGATTACTTGGCTTCCGTCTGGATGATGTGGTAGGTAGTAATTAGCGGTGCCTGTCCCATGGATGCCGCGGAAGTCTCTTGGTCGATGCGAATGAAGCTTGCGAACAATGGCAAGCTCAGCTGCCGAGTAATGCGGACGGTTGCTGCCAAAGGGCCTAAAGGCTGCTTTGACAGCGGCAACAAGGTTGGATGGCGCCCGCCACCATCTTGGGCTCTGCAGCCTGCCGCGATGGACCGTTGCTGATTCGCAGCCATCAACAACACTTGTCGTATCCTGGTGCATGCCGCGGGTGTGAGCGCAGAAAAACTCGTACACAGGTACGTACCCAGACGTGCAAATCGCCATCATCGACCAGGAATCAGCGCTGAGGACGGGCCTAATACATGCTGGCCCCCTGGACAACCCCTGTCGACGCCCCCTAGTTGGCCACCGGTGGGCGGGTCCGGGTTAGAGGTAGGAGCTGGTCCTCCACTCTCAATCACGTCCGGAGAGCTTGTTTGTTCTCCCAGTCGTGTCGCTCCGTGCTCCTGAGGACTTTTTCTACCCTCCAACCTTCGTAATCGTCCACCGGTTCGTCCTTTCACTCACTCCCTTTTCCCCTTCGCGCCGCTCGTTACAGGCTTAGAAGAGTCCATCTTCTTCCACCTCTCATCCTTCGTTTTCATATAATTTGAGGCTTCTCCTCGCCTACAACCACGCTCGCGTCTCCCTAATTCCCGCTCCTTCACCCCAGAACCCGCCTTCCCCCTTAGCCCGACGGTTCGAGTCGAAAAATACACAACGAAGGTGCGTTCATGCCGGATCTGCTCGCAGTCACGATAGCTTCGCAATTCCTGTTCCGCGTAGTGTGTAGCTGTTTCCGTCCACGACAGCTTGCTCTTCACACCACTGCCCGTACATTCCATTCCACCTGCCCTGTCCACGTCCCTGCCACCTGCTCCGACCATCTCGAGCCGCCTCAAGACCATCATTCTGTGTGGTGGCGCATGCTACCTGCTGGATGGCTCTGGCTCGAGTTGGAACGACGCAATACCCACATGCTCTCCCCTTTCATCAGAACTTGCCAATGCATTCAAGCACCATCATCATCATCAACATCAGCATCAGCATCAACATAATCACTGCCAATCAACAAATTCCAGCCGGTTGGATGGCTGCATAGCATTACCATTTCTCACTGGACATATCAGTGTCTCTTCACTTCCGTCTCTCGCCCAATTCGCTAAATCACACACTTGACCCGTCGCTCCAAATCACCCGTTCCACCAAGGTCATTGTACAACAACTTGGGCCGCGCTTCAACTTCTGTGTTCATTTTTCCACTGACACGCCTTAATTAGACTACAATGCGTTCCACCACGATTCTGGGTCTCGCCGGCTTGGCCAGCCTCGCTGCTGGTACGTAGCATCTCATCAACATCATCTTTGTTTGTGACTACAAGACTGACTCTTCGAACAGCCGCCGATTGCGACAAGGATTGGAAGATCAGCTCCGCCGATGCTAACCTTGCCTGCGACACCCTCACTGGCAGTATCACTGTCGATTCTTCGCTCTCTGGCAGTCTCAACATCAGCGGCCCTAAGAAGATCACTGGTGACTTGACGATCAAGAATGCTACCAACCTCATCTCAATCACCAGCACGTCTATCGCCCAAATTGGAGGCAGCTTCACCCTCGAGGATCTCAACCAAGTTCAGTCCATCAGATTCAGCTCCCTGGACTCTATCAACGAGGTGTCAATTGTCAAGGCGCCTGCACTTCGGTCCCTTGTTTTCGGTAGCGATGGTGTCACAAAGGCCAGCACCGTCCGTATCACTAACACTAATCTGGACAACCTGAGCAGCTTTAAGCTCTCTACCGTCGACAGCCTCACCATCAACGACAACCCTCAGATGGCTCAGTACGACTCTGCCCTCAGCAACATCACCACCGAGCTCGTCATCCGAGACAACGGTGAGAACATGGAGATTACCATGAGCAACCTCACCAAGGCCGGTGAGATTCAGATCGGTAGTGCCAAGAGTCTGAAAGTCCCCGCTCTCAAGTCCGCCAACTCTGTCAAGTTCGAGGCCAACGACCAGCTGGAGTCTTTCTCCGCTCCCAACCTGACCGAGATCAAGAACGCCGTTTCCTTCACCAACAACCCCAAGCTCACCAACGTCTCTTTCCCTGTCCTGACCAAGATCACTGGAGATCTTAAGATTGTGAACAACACTGAGATCAAGATCCTCGATGGGTTCCCCGTCCTCGCATCTGTTGAGACCATGTTCCTGGGTGGCAGCTTCGAAGAGTAAGTCATCAAACAATTACACCGCGCAGTAGAACTTTAACCTGACTCGAAAATAGGATCGATATGCCCAAGCTTGATTCGGTCAACGGCCTTGCCAATGCCAGCTCAACCACCGATATCCAGGAATTCTGCAAGTTTTTCGACTCGCTGAAGTCCGCCAACAAGATCAAGGGTAGCGGCAGCAAGTGCACCAGCAACTACAAGAACGCCAACGGTGGAAGCAACAACACCTCTTCTGGTAACAACACAAGCAGCAACGACGACAGCGCCGCCGGATTCGTCGGTGTCAACGTCGCCGTTCTTGGTCTGGCTCTCGTCGCCGGTGTTGCCCACCTGCTGTAAATTTGGTAGAAAGGAGTTGCTGCCAGGCAGACAAAATCTTGTGACGGATAGGAAATGGCGTTCCTTCACCTTCTCTGTATGTTCCAGGCCTCATTTGGTCAAGATGTAGTGAATTTTGCTTGCATTGCGCGTTGAAGGTCCCAGCCGAACTTGGCTTTCTTTCCTTGTTTCTTCTTTTTTTGCTTATGGGGAAATACGCACCAGAACTTAATGGATTGTGATTCGAGTAGAGCTTTCAATGAAACCACCACTTTCAATATCATTTTCCCTGCGTGATGAGCCTGAGGCAAAGACCTACAGACAAATCAAACTTCAGTCGGGCCTATCTAAAGCACTCACTCCTGAGTGTCGCACGGCCCTTTAATCTACACAATAAACAACATTCCTTGTACAACCAAACCAAATAAACCCTATAACCTTACGTGGGGCTTGCATTGAATATCACTTCACCTATAACGCATCGCTAGCCTAATCATTGATAAATACCTTTCTCAAATTTTTCCACATCAAAGAATTTTGGTTTGATCGTGTTGCCATTGAACACTCGACCGGCCAGAGCATCGACAGCCTTTAAACATATAATCATTGTTAGATAAGCGTAGTGTTTTCATCAGGATGAAGATTATCATTGGTTCACTTACCCGAAGCGCTGAGACTTGATTCGTAAATTTGATAAAAACCTGCCGGCTAGATTGGTCGATATATAGCCTCTCAACTCGCCCATACTGCTCCCACGGTCAGTGACAACTCTAAAGTCGAGGCCGGCATGGCCCCGGGAATGTAATCTCACCTTCTCTCCGCACTCCTCCCCAATCTCCTGGGCCAGGCCGTCGGCGATTTCCGCTTGGAGATCTGTTATGTTCTCGAGCATGTCCTGCAGCACGATGACCTCGCTCATGGCGCCGAACTTGCTCGACTCCTCCTTCCTCTTGCCGCCGATGATCTTGCCCTTGCCGCCCGGCTCTGCCCAGCCGCCGCCGTCCGCGTCTGCCTTCTTGCGCCGCTTCTCGACCTGGACCTGCAAAGGGTTCACGATGCCGGACTCGTCGGCGCCGAGACCGGTCCCTCGCGTCCAGCCGTACTTTGACATCAGGCGGTGGGCGAAGCCGGCTTGACCAGGGCGACTGGAGCGCGGGCCGTCGTCCTGAGGTTCGTTGGAGCTTCCTAGGCCCGGGCGCTCATCCATGTCTTCGTCTTCAACTTCTTGGTTCTGGGTGTTCTGAGTATATCGAATGGGAGCCCGAGATATCGTTGCCGAGTCTTCTGGGGGCGGTGGAGGAGGATAGTCGTCCCGTGGTGGCGCGGGTGGTGGAGGAGGAACAGTGTCTTGAGCTTGTGATGTTATGGTAGGGCGTGAAGAAGTCTCCTCTCCTGACTTTTCATCGGGGAAGGCTCTAGGTGGCGATGGGGGAGGCGGCGCGAAAGCGTTGAATGATGGGGGAGCATATCGGTCTAAGGTCAGAGATGTTAGCAAAGATGCGCGGATCTGCTGGAGATCGTGAATTTAGAAACGTACTTTGAGGCATAGACCCTGTGTCCTCGGCATCTGATGAGTCGCTGTCCACGGGCTTCCTCCTGTGGCGGTAAAGTAGAGCTTTCCAGTCTCTAACCTCGTCTATCTTCTCATCGCTACGCACGTACTCGTCGATATTGGTGGGCTTGGATGGATCGTACAGCTCCTCCCAGTCTGTTTGAACTTGGTACTCTTGTTTCCTCTTCTTCTTCTTCCGGCCTCCACGCTGGCGCTTCTCTCCCGTACCGTATAGCCATTCGTCATCCTCGGTGGCCGCCCAGTCGGCAAGCCTGCTCTTCGGGACGGCTGCTCCTGCGGCAGCTTGTGGTTCCGTCGCAGCAGGCTCTCCGGCGGGTTTCGAGCTAACTTTAGGGAATGATTGCTTGGGTTTGTTTGCTTGCTTCGCTTGCGGGCGGCGGATGGGCTGAAACCGGAGCGACGGGTCGGCGAGCGGCTTAGATGTTGGCTCGCTCCCGGGCTGTTTGCTCTGGCTGTAGACTACTGGTGCGGAAGATATCGTGGCGGAGGATGGAGGAGGGTCCTTTGGGTCGAGGAGATTGGCATATAGCGAGAGACCACCGCCTCGAGGCGGCGGTTGTGCCATGATATGCTGTTGGGTCTGGGCAATCTTAAGACGGCACAAGTGTCGCGAGGGTTTGCGCGGTTCGCGCTGGCCACGAGGAGACGGCGCGAGGGAAGTGCGGTGCCTGACCTAAGTCGCCAGGCTGTAGCACAGTCTGCGCCTATGTATTATCAATCAATTCTCAGGCTTCGGTCCGTTTTCTTCCAAAGTTTGGCGAGCCTTGAGAAGCAGCTAGGAGCATAGATAAGTGTGACGAAGCGGACAATGAGCTTTCGATTGCGAGTCACTTGGTGTTGTTGGTTCTGTCGTATATCTTGGGGGTGTCACCGTTCTTGGCTTGAAATACTATCATGAATTAATTCATACACGAGATGATTCAATGTTGGTTCCTAGGAAGCTTTGGTGTTGATGGTGTTGCTAGGAATAGGTAGGTTGAACGAATTGATTAATTAGCACTTTACCCATCTAGGTATGGGCGGATGTTCATGCATTAAGCTCTTTCCGCCAAGTGTTGTATCTGTACCTGTCCTCTTAGGTGAGCTCTGCCTAAAGGCTCCTAGGTAAGGCGGCACCAAGCAACATAGGTAATTCTTGGTATTACAGGTCGTACAAAATACCCCAGGCATCAATTTCAAAATGGAAATAATTCCAGCAGCTCTGCCTAAGCCCATAAAGTGATTGAGTAGTGCCTGCCAGTTGGCCATCAGACCTGGCAGGTGCCGACGGCCGTCGTACCTGACGCTGTAGTTTGGTTGAGTCAGCTCTAGGGTGGGTGGCCTGCCGCGCTTCTGAAGCTATTTGGTTTGTTTGTGTACATGTGCCCCTCCATGCCACCCCGCCAAAAAATCTCGCTTGTCCCTGGAAACCTTGCAGCAGCTCCAACGTCACCTGTTGGAACTCCATCATCCACAAACTCTCCCGGGGCACTTTGAAGGTTTCAGAAATCTCCAAACCTGGGCGCCGCGGCTCTTTCCCCCAATTTTCCTCCTGCACCTACCGGTCACCGGATTTTCAACTGCGCCTTCCGGTGCGCGTCTCAATTTCCGTTCCTGGCCAGTCGACACTCACTTCCACTAAATTCGACCGACCGCCTCGATACTCCGAATAAAATGGCTGACCTTGCAAGCCGGATCACGAAGCCAGCGGATGATGCTGCGCCTGCACCCGAGACGCCTGCAGCAGCCGACACCGCTGCTGCTGAAACCCCCGTTGGCGATGCTCAGAATGATGGCGCTGTCGAGAGCCTTGGCGGCTCAGGACTCCAGGAGCCTGGTTACGAAGTTGAGATCACTCTGAGCGATCTTCAGCAAAACGAAGCCACCCCGTTCCACTCCGCCACGACTTGGGAAGATATCGGCCTGTACGTGACTAAATGACCTCATCGATGACTGAATTTGTCTAACATAGAAATGCCCTGTTATAGGCGCGAAGAGCTTCACAAGGGCCTCTTGGCACTGAACTTCCTGAAGCCTTCCAAGGTCCAAGGCAAATCGCTCCCTCTCATGCTGAGCGACCCCCCTACAAACATGCTGGCACAGTCGCAATCTGGAACTGGAAAGACGGCTGCTTTCGTCACCGCGATATTGTCGCGTGTTGATTTCAGCAACCCTGATCAACCCCAGGCTTTAGCTCTGGCACCCAGCCGTGAGCTTGCTCGTCAGATTGAAGAGGTTATCCGAGCCATCGGACATTTCATCCAGAACTTGAAGATTGCACCCGCTGTTCCTGGTGCTCTTCCTCGCGGTGAACCGGTTCGTTCTGCTGTTGTCGTGGGCACACCAGGAACTGTCATGGACATCATTCGCCGAAGGCAATTGGATGTCTCACAGTTGAAGGTCCTTGTTCTCGATGAAGCAGATAACATGCTGGACCAGCAAGGTCTCGGCGACCAATGCATGAGGGTCAAGGGGTATGTTCTCACTTTGCATGGCTACAATCCATTGCCCACGCTAACACGGAAACAAGCATGCTGCCCAAAACCATCCAGACTCTTCTCTTCTCCGCTACATTCCCTGAGAAGGTTCTTCAATACGCAAACAAGTTCGCGCCTAACGCGCATTCGCTTAAGCTCCAACGTAGTGATCTCACAGTCAAGGGTATTTCCCAGATGTTTATCGATTGCCCCAACGACAGCACAAAGTATGACATTCTCTGCCGCCTGTATGGCCTCATGACCATTGGACAGTCCGTCATCTTCGTCAAGGTACTTTCCCGTATGGGTCCCTTTTATACTAGCAAACGGTTGTGCTGATTTCCGATGATTTAGACTCGAGAGAGCGCCAATGAGATTCAGCGACGAATGGTTGCAGACGGACACAAGGTCTCAGCTCTACACGCCGCCTTTGATGGAAGTGAGCGAGACGAGCTTCTTTCCAAATTCCGCAGCGGTGAGAGCAAAGTCCTGATCGCTACCAATGTTATCGCTCGAGGTATCGACGTATCCAGCGTGTCCATGGTCATCAACTACGACATCCCCATGAAGGGACGAGGAGATACCGAGCCTGATACCGAGACATACCTTCACCGAATTGGACGAACCGGTCGTTTTGGCCGAGTCGGAGTCAGCATCAGCTTTGTGTACGACAAGAAGAGCTATGATGCTCTTAGCTCCATTGCCAACCATTATGGCATTGACCTCGTGAAGCTCGACACCGACGACTGGGATGACGCCGAGGAGCGTGTCAAGGAGGTGATCAAGAAGAACCGAGCGCAAGCCGCGTATGCACCCAGCGCAACCGACCCCCAGAAAACAGGAGCTGCTTAGGGATGGCCTAATGGAGGATGGGGTTCCATGGACTGGGGATATCCTATTATATCCTAATTACGATGTGGTAGCGAGTGTAGGACCGAGTGGAGTCCTGCGAGAAGGTGTGAATGTGGTAGAGAAAGAAACGCCTAAGGGTGGCTAGCTGACTTTGGCCAACAAATGTTTTGGCACACGTTCGTGATACTTAGCTTAGAACGATGACACAAGATACCAATGAAACCTGGAATGAAACTAAGATGCTGATCTCTACATCTAATCCAACCAACGAATTCTGTGTATCCTTTGGCAATGCTACCCAACCTCGATATCATGTGGACTTTGAAGATCGAGAATATGGAAATGATCCGCCAGTCACGTCTGTTCAGCTCAGACAAGGTGAGGCGGCTCCGTCTGTCTGGTGCAGTGAGACTCGCTGCCCGAACGAGCGGCTTCGTGGCACGTGGGAGCTGTCTTCCAAGCTTTCGAACTTTTACTGATATGATATTTCATTGATCAGCCTCAAGGGGCCCAGGTGCAAATCTCATGCCGGGGTGGAGCGAGATGCGGTGGGCTACAAGCCAGACATTGGGCATCGCTCTGTATTATTATGTGCTGCTTTAAGTTGCACAGGAAACTACGCTCTCGCTTGCGAATCATTCGTGTCTGTCCGCGCATGAATATGCCGTCTCACCTGTCTCCAGCCCGAACTCCACAAAACTGCTGTCTTGATCATCATTGACCTACCTACCTCGGATACTCTGCATGCAAGTCGTGGGTGCTGCCCAAAGAAGAACCACTGCGAAGCGCCGCTGCAATGCACTGTGCTGTGGTGTGCAGCGCAGTGCATTGCAGTAAGACCAAGACATTTGGGCAATGACATAGAGTTTGGGATTGCCTAAGAGAGTAACCCATCATAAACCCGTGCCGGCATCGTTCACACCCTCATTTTTTAGCTGCCCACGGAAGGACTAAGAAAAGTGAGGCAATCCGGGAGGGACGAACCGGACGTGCATGGATCGGCTAGAAGAGGCGGGAGGACTCGAGCCACGTCACATGTTTGGGGAGGAAGAACGATATCGCTCAGTCCTTCGCGACCGCTACCCTCGACTTCGCCCTGCCCCGGGTGCTGCCCCAGCTTTGCGTTTTCCTTTCTTTTTCCCCTTCGGGAATGGCTGCTGCGGGGAGCTGGGCTGGTATCCAATTGCCTGGCGAAGACTGAAGATGGCACTTAGATTTACCTAGGGAGCTTTGGCCACTAGAAGCTGCCCAAAGGTACAGGGGAGCCATCCACTGCAAACCAGAAGTCAGGTAGAGTCGGTGGGCGAGATAAGGGGTCTCCTGGGAGGTACCTACCGCGCTAGGCAAGTGTGTACGTATTCCAGGTACCGGCCCAGTAGGAATCAATCGATTTTTTTTTTTCGTGACTTGCCAACACATCAGCCCAGCCCCCCTCCCTTAACCATGACGGTGCCCGCCGGCTACTGAAGATCCCGCCCCGGGCTTGGAAACGAACCAGTGCAGTTGGACTGTCGCGCTGCAGCCAGTTATGCCAATTGTTCCGATCAGGGATGTTGGGCCGCGATCTGGGCACCGGCCGGAGCGTGACCAGAACGGCCTCCCCCTTCTCCCGACATGCTGCACCTCAAGCCCAACACTCAGGCAACGTGGCGCCAGTTGTGCCTGCATGGAGCCAACCGAGCCCAAGGCGCTACCGTCTATCGTCAGCGGGGAGCAATATTTCCCAACCTGCCCACGCCTGCTTGGGCCACCGACGTGTGGAGAGGGGGGAGTGGGTTCTGCGCAATGGGCCGCTCGCCATAGGTGGTTGGTATTAATTATTGTCTTTTTTTATTCTCTGGTAGACAAGTCTCTCACCCAGGCCTAAGTCGCTGTCGACAAACCCCTCAGTGGGATGATTCTTGGCCTGTTTCGGAATGTGCTGGCCGTGTCGATGGTGTTGTGCTTCTATGTAATAATGGGCGTGCCAGGCCTCATTTTCCTGGCAATCGACCTGGTGGCTTTTGGCACACGTTAACGAGCAGCCCATATATATTAATTCTGTCACCATCTTGCCGGATGCCATAGTCCCTGTCTAGCATTTGCCTTACCGCGCTTTTGTCTTGTCTTGGCCGTGGCCATCCTCGTTTTACGCTCTTGCCGCCTTTTTGCCCCCATTCGCAGCCTATTGATTCATCTATTGCCAAATTCGTGAAGTCCACCGCAAGTCTGCAGAACAGGCCCCCAGTCCATACATATCATCTGTTTCATTCGATTTACTCCTTTTCTTTTCCTTGTTGATCGTTTGTTCCTTCTTCTTCTGTTATCGGCCATCCATCCATCTGACTAACTCCTTCGCCTCACTCTTCCCAACCCTCTTCCCTGCCACCCTACTGCGGCTACCCGAATCGAATGCCCAACCTTCTGTGGAGCTTACATGGAAGTTGGAGTCCAAGCTCACGCACTTCGAGATATTAGTGCTCTTGGGCCGTTAGCGGCTGCGAAAGCATGTCTCATGTTAAATTCACTCCGGCCTATTCCTACTACGACGTGCAGTACTCTGATTTCTCCCACATCAACTACACACAGCCTGACTACTCCGACGATGATTTAGGATCAGGCGAGGAAGGTGAGGAAAAGCGCACCCACCCGTGAATTGAAGTCGCACACCCCCCAGCTTCTCTACTTTGCTCTTTGGGGAACTAAAAAAAAAATCCAAATAGGACAGGATCGGCCACCTGATGATTACAGGCCCAGGGAGCAGCTGCCGCTTTCTTATAGCCCTCACCAGCCCAGGGAGGAGAAGCACAAGAAGGAGAAGAAGGACAAGTCGAAGAAGGACAAGCCGTCGAAGAGGCACCACCACATGAGTGACACGGCTGGATTGCCAGAGGCACCGGAGGCCCCTGCTGATAGTGGTGCCGCGGTGCCTCCCGGGCGAGCTGCTGCTGAGAAGGACTCGTGGCCCCTGCCAATCAGCAAGGCGGGCAAGAAGAAGAAGAAGAGGTCGTCAAAGGACAAGGACGCCGCGAAAGCGCCTGCGCCCGCGGAAACCGAAAAACCCCCAGCCCCAGATGCTCCAGCTGAGTCTCAAGAGGAATCAAAAGATGAAGCGAATGATGAGTCAAAGGAGGAACCGGAGGAGGAGGAGGTAAAAGAGGAGCCCAAGGAAGAGCCAAAAGATGAGCCAGCCGAAAAGCCAATTGAGGAAGTGAAAGAGGAAGTCAAGGAGAAATCACCTCCCGAAGAGCCTACCTCTCCTAAGAAAAGCAAAAAGGACAAGAAGAAGGACAAGAAGAAGGAGAAGAAAGCTAGCAAAAAGGCGGAGAAGTCAGCATCGAAGGAGAAGGGCCACTCACCGAAGGACGAAGCGCCAAAGGAGGCCGAGAAGCCTGCCGACGACACCCCCGCCGCTGCCACCAATGGGGAAGCGGACCAGCAATCTCCCGCACCAGGCGACAAAGTTGAAGATTCCGCCGAGGCCGCTGAGGCGCCGGAGGCATCCGAATCAGCTGCGGCACCCGAGACAGACGAGGATCCCGCGGAGTCTGCCGAAGAGTCAAAACAAGCCGATGGGCTGGCCGCTGCTGAGGAATCTAAGGCAGCTGAGGAGGAACCTAGCATGCCTGACGAAGCCCCGGCAGCTGTTGAAGAGAAGGCTGTTGAGGAGAAGGCTGTTGAGGAGGGCGACCACGCAACTGAGGATGCCAAGCCAGCCGAAGAAGCGAAGGCTGGTGAGGAAGAATCAAAGGCAGCTAAGGAAGCCAACCCAGGCGATGAAGCCCCGGCAACTGAAGACACCAAGGCCGTGGAAGGAGCTCCGGCATCAGATGAAGAACCTGCTGTACCCGAAGAAACCAAAGCCAGCGAAGGAGAGTCGAAGGGAGCTGAAGAAACACCCTCCACCGAAGCAGCCCCAACAGCCGAGGAAACAGCAGCAGCTGAAGAATCAAAAGAAGCCGAAGAAACAAAGGCGACGGAAGCTTCAGCAGCCGAGGAAACACCAGCAACTGAAGAATCGCAAGGAGCTGAAGAAACGAAGCCTGCGGAAGCTCCAGCAGCAGACGAAGAAGCTGATGTATCCGAAGAAATCAAGGCCAGTGAAGAAGAGTCTAAGGGAGCTGACAATGCACCCTCCACCGAAGAAGCTCCAGCAGTTGAGGAAAAACCAGCAACTGAAGATTCGAAAGGAGCTGAAGAAACGAACACTGCGGAAGCTCCGGCAGCTGAGGAAGCTGCTGTACCCGAAGATAAAAAGGTAGGCGATGAAGAGTCTAAGGGGACTGAAGAAGTACCCTCCAGCGAGGAAGCGCCTACAGTCGAAGATTCGAAAGTAGCTGAAGAAGTTGCTGCATCCGAAGATAAAAAGGCTGGTGAAGAAGAGTCTAAGGGGACTGAAGCAGCACCCCCCTCCGAAGAAGCCCCCGCAGTTGAAGATTCGAAAGTAGCTGGAGAAGTTGCTGCATCCGAAGATAAAAAGGCTGGTGAAGAAGAGTCTAAGGGGACTGAAGAAGCACCCTCCTCTGAAGAAACACCTGCAGCTGTGGAAAAGAAACTAGACGAAGAAACCTTTACAATCGAAGCATCGAAAGTGGGCGAGGAAGAAACCAAACCCGCCGAGGAGGCTACGACATCGGCAGAGTCTAAGGCAGCCGACGGCGACACAGTAACCGATGAAGCTCCAGAATCCGAGGCATCGAAAGTAACCGAAGAAGCACCAGCAGCTGAATCAAAAGCAGCTGAAGAAGCTGCTGTATGCGAAGAAACTAAGGCTAGCGAAGAAGAGTCTGAGGCAGCTGAACCATTAGTAGTTACAGAAGCACCCGATGCTGAAGAATCGAAAGGAACTGAAGAATCACCTTCCATCGAAGAGGCTCCCAAACCTGAAGAAGCACCGGCAGCGGAAGGGGAACCCAAGCTAACGGGGGAAGCGGCGCCACCTGCGGAATCAGAGACAGCTGACGAAGCTCCAGCAGTGGAAGAATCGAAAGCGGATGAGGAAGTCTCAACAGCGGAATTGAAAGTAACTGAAGAAGTCCCCGCAGCCGGAGATTCGAAACCAGCCGAAGCACCCGCTGCTGAGGAAGAAACCATACCTACCGAAGTAGCGGCGTCATCTGCAGAAACAAAGGTATCTGATGAAGCCCCAACAGTCGACGAATCCAAAGCAGCCGAAGAAGCACCCTTAGTCGAAGCAACACCCTCAGTCGAAGCAACACCCTCAGTCGAAGCAACACCCTCAGTCGAAGCAACACCCTCAGTCGAAGCATCGCCCTCAGCTGAAGAAGTACCAGCAGTTGAATCGACAGCCGCTGAGGAAGCTGCGGAGTCCGGGGAAATTAAGCCAGCTGAGGAGAAAACCAAACCCACTCCTGCCGAAGTGCCTCGCCGCCAGCCTGGCCCTTGGTCCGCCTCTCCTCGCGTACCATGTCCTCAATGGTCATATCCTCATTCCCCTCAGGAAACTCCAACGGTCGAGGTGTCAAAAGCAGCCGGAGAAGTCCCTAGAGCCGAGGAAGCCGCGGCATCGGCAGAATCAAAGGCAACGGATCAACCACCAGCCACTGAAGAAAACAAGGTTGCTGAAGATGAAGCTACATCGGCCGAGGCGGCAGCGACACCTGCAGAATTCAACGCAGCCGTTGAAGCCACAGCCGTCGAAGAAACTAAGGCTGGCGAGACAGCCCCGGTAACTGAGGAAGAAATCAAACCGGCCGAGGAGGCTGATGCGTCAACAGGATCCAAGGCAGCTGAAGAGTCTGAGGTAGATCAAGGAGCCTCAGCAGCTAAGGAGGTTGTGGTATCCGAAGAAACCAAGGCCGGTGAAGGAGAGTCTAAGGCTGCTGAAGAATCCAAACAAGCCGAGGAAGCTAAGGTAGCTGGGGACGCTCCCGTAGCTGAAGAAGAAATCAAACCAGCTGAGGTAGCTGTATCTGAAGAAGCCAATCCAACCAAGCAAACCCCGACCTCCCAAGAGATAAAAACAGCTGAAGGGACGAAGGCTACTGAAGAGGAAACCAAACCCGTCGAGGAAGCTGTTGCAGCTGAGGGATCGAAGGCAAATGATGAAAACAAGTTAGCTACTGAAGCTCCGGGACCCGACGAAACTGAGAGTGGTGAGGAAGAGTCAAAGGCAGCTGATTCAACCGAGTCAAAAGAAGAAACCAAGGCTGGCGAGGAAGCATCAAAGACACCTGATGAAGACCCAGAAGCTGCGGAACCCACGGTTGCTGAGGAGGAAACTAAGCCAGTTGAAGATTCGAAGGCCACTGAAGAATCGATACCAAGTGAAGAGGCCCTAACAGTTGACGAAACTAAGAACGACGCACCGACCCCAAAGGCTGAAGAAGATACCAAACTGGCCGAGGAAGCTGCAGTAGTTGACGAATCGAAGGAAGCCGAAGCACCGACTCCGGCAACTAAAGAAGTACTAGCAGCTGACGTAAGTAAGGCGGGTGAGGACGTGTCGAAAACAGCTGATGAATCCAAGTCAATTGAGGAAATCAAGGTAGCCGAAGAAGCTAAGGCGGGCGACCAAGGATCGAAGGCAACTAACGAAGCACTAACATCAGTAGCCGAAGAAACCCAGACTGTTGAGGAAGAAACTAAAGCTTCCGAGGAAGGAAATAATCCTGTTGAAGAATCCCTGGCAGCTGGAGAAACCACGAAATCTGAGAAGACCACAAAGACCGAGGAAATCAAGTTAGCTGAGGGAACTCCAGCAGCAGCAGATGAGTCCAAGCCTGCTGAAGTCGAAACTGCGGCTGCTGAAGGAGAAAAAGAGTCCGTTCCCGAAAAGACTAAAGCTGATTCCGAAGAGCAAAGTACACCAGTCGAGGCTGCTACAGCAGATGAGCCTGCGGAAACCGAAAAGATAGCAGATGTCAAGCCAGCCGAGGATGCAACCAACCCGGCCGAAGACAGCAAACCTATCGAGGGGGGACCGCTGGCAGCCGAAGAAACCAGGCCTGTCATTGAAGACATCGAGCTTGTTGAAAAAGAGGAATCGAAGACTGGAGCAGACGAAAAGAAATCAGCTGAAACGGTGGCAGAGGAGGGAGGGGAGACACAAGGACTTCCAACGGTTGACGATCTAAAGCCAACCGAGGCAGCCCCAGTATCCACAGAAGATGAAGTTAAACCTTCTGACAAGCCAGATGCGGCGACAAGTATGGACGAACCAACAGCTTGCGCTGAATCTAAGCCAGAGGGCGAGGATAAAGCCGATGAATTACCGTCAACGGAGAAAGTCGAAACAGCCAATAAGCCCACTGAAACTGAAGAAACTGAAGTTGGGGATGAGTCTACTCCTGATGAACCCGAGGGAGGAAGCCTAGCTTCCTCACCCAAGGCGGCAGGAAATGAAGACCAGTCAGCTGAGGAATCAACAGAGACCTCAAGCGACAAAGACTCGGCATCAGACGCGACTAAGTCGGACGCTACGGCAGATACCTTGGTCGTGGATACGGGCGACAAAACTGAGACTAATGAGGAAGGCTCGGATGAGGGCGAGGATGCTAAGGCTGAAGATAAAGCTTCCAGAAGTACTGAAGAGTCAGCACAGAAGGAAGAGCTTTCTGAGTCGATCGTACTACCAGACGTGGCTGCTGGAGATGAGGCAGAGAAGCCTGCCGAGGAAGAAATGTCGGCTGAGAAGGAGAACCTGGCGGCTGACGACAAGCCCGCTGATGAGGAGAAGCCAGCTGATGAGGAGAAGCCAGCTGAAGAGAAACCAACCGAGGACGATAAGCCAGCTGAGGGCGACAAGCCCACCGATGAGGAGAAGCCGGTTGAAGGTGATAAATCGACTGAAAATGAGAAGTCAGCTGAAGAGAAGTCAACCGAAGACAACAAACCAGCTGAGGACGATAAGGTAGCCGATGAAGAGAAGCCAGCTCAAGGTGGAAAACCAACCGAAGATGACAAGCCAATTGAAGACGACAAGCCAGCTGAGGAGGAGAAGCCAGTAGTAGACGAGAAACCAGCTGAAGAGGTAGTTGAAGACGACAAATCAGCTGAGGGCGGTAAGGTAGCCGAGGAGGAGGAGCCGGTTGAAGGTGAAAAACCAGCCGGGGACGACAAGCCAGTTGAAGACGACAAGCCAGTTGAAGACGACAAGCCAGTTGAAGACGACAAGCCAGTTGAAGACGACAAGCCAGTTGAAGACGACAAGCCAGTTGAAGACGACAAGCCGGCTGACGGAGACAAGTCAACCGATGAGGAGAAGGCAGCTGAAGGCGATAAACCAGCCGAGGAGGATAAGCCGTTGGAAAACGAGAAATCAGCTGAAGACAAGGAAGCATCCGAGGATGAGAAATCGGCGGAAGAGGAGAAGCCTGTTGAAAGCGGTCAACCGGCTGAAAGTGATAAGCCGGCTGAGGAGAAGGCGGCTGAAGAGGAGAAGCCTGTTGAGGAGGAGAAGCCTGTTGAAGAGGAGAAGCCTGTTGAAGAGGAGAAGCCTGTTGAGGAGGAGAAGCCGGCTGAGGAGGAGAAGCCTGTTGAAGAGGAGAAGCCGGCTGAGGAGGAGAAGCCTGTTGAAGATGAAAAGCCGGCTGAGGAGGAGAAATCAATTAAGTCAGTTGAAGATGAGAAGCCTGCTGAGGAGGAGAAGCCGGTTGAAGATGAAAAGCCGGCTGAGGAGGAGAAATCAATTAAGTCAGTTGAAGATGAGAAGCCTGCTGAAGAGGAGATGGCAACTGAGGAGGAGAAACCAACTGAGTCTGTTAAAGAGGAGAAGCCTGTTGAGGAGGAGAAGCCGGTTGAAGAGGAGAAGGTTGCTGAAGAGGAGAAGCCTGCTGAGGAGGAGAAGCCGGTTGAAGATGAAAAAGCTACTGAGGAGGAGAAGCCAGCTGAGGAAGAGAAGCCTGTTGAAAGTGATAAGCCGGCTGTTGAGGAGGAGAAGGCGGCTGAAGACGAAAAGGCTGCTGAGGAGGAGAAACCTGCTGAGCCCGATACCCCACCGGAGGCATCTGTAGAAGCAGCACCGGTTGAAGAGATTCAAGCAGAAGAAGAGGCGGCAGAAGAAGCCCTAGAAGAATCAATCCCAGCAGAGGAAAAGCCTGCGGAAGAGCCAATACCAGCAGACGCAGCCCCCGAAGCCTTAACAGAGCAGAACGTTGCCGAGGCTGATGCTCCAGCAGGCCAGGCGGTAGCAGAAGCAGCGCCAGAGGAGGCAGTGCCAGTCACAGAAGAGCCTGCAGAAGCATCTCCAGAAGAGGCCGCCCCAGAAACCTCAACAGAGGAGAAGCCAGCTGAGCCTGATTCCCCAGCAGAAGAAGCCTTAGCAGGACCAGCGCCAGCGGAAGAAAAGGACGCAGAAGAATTCTTGGCAGAAGAAACTCCAGAAGAAGTAGCTTCTGCAGAGGAAAAGCCTGCTGAAGCATCTCCGGAAGAAGCAGCCCCAGCGGAGGAGAAGCTTGCCGAACCCGAGCCCCAACTAAAGGAAGCACCAAAGGAAATCCCTGAGGAGAAACCTGCCCCCGAGCCAGTTAAACCGAAGGAGTCAGAGGATGAAACAGCCAGAAGGAGGCGGCGATCTTCTCGCGCGCTCCCGATTGATGAGAAAACCAGAGACCGGTTTAGGAGAGGTAAGCCACAAAATATCGAAGAATCCGCTGAATCTAATGGAGGCAGCGCCCATGTTTAAGACGTTCGACTGACATATCGCTTTATAGAGGAGACACGCAGGTCGTCGCGGACTGACCGAGATAGAGATAGAGATCGAGATCGAGACCGAGACCGGGATAGAGATAGAGAGAGAGACCGGGACAGGGACAGAGAGCGACCTAGAGAGAAAGATAGGGATCGAGATCGAGAGCGTGAACGTGAGCGTGAGAGGGACAGAGACAGAGAAAGAGACCGCGACCGGGATGGAGAACGCCGCCGGAGGCATCGCCACTCTCACCACTCTGACAAAAGCAGAGGCGAGGGTGAGCCGAAGGAGAGCAGACGACGATCGTCCCATCATCGCCACCACCGGGAGGAGATTCCCGAAGAGCCAATTCCGAAACCGACACAGCAAACCCCACGCCGACGGGATAGCGGCTTCTCGGCTGATGATTCTGGTAGCTCCAGCCGTCGCCAACGAAGCGCTGAAGAGCAGGAGGCCCATGATAAGCGAAAGGCAGAACGACGAGCAAGGGATTTGGAGCGAGAAACTCGTGAATTACCGCGTTCTCGAGACGGCAAAAGCAAAGAGCATGATTCTCGAGAAATTCCACGCTCAAGAGACGGTAAAGTAAGGGAGATGGATCAGAACGACGCCCCTCGCTCCAGGGACGGCAAAACAAGAGAGATGGGTCACAGTGAACCTCCTCGCTCCAGGGACGGCAAGAGCAAGGAACAGGAATCTGTCCGATTTAAAGAGCCCAAGCCAGAGGAAGGCGAACGTCGTCACCGGCGTTCCCGCAGGCATAGTCACGCGAGCCATACGTCTAGACCGGAGCCTTCTAGGGAGCCACCAGTGTCGGACCGAGACATTGAAAAAGAAGAGGAAGTCCTTCCAGAGAAGAAGTTTTTCGGAATGAAGAACGCAGAAGGTGTATTACGAAGTAGTAGCTCAACACCGCCGATCCGTGAGCAGGCGGCTGCGCCGGAGCCTAGTCCAGAGGAGCCTCCGCTGGATGAAACTCCAAAGAAGCACAGAAGCTCGCGACATAGACACAGCTCTAGCAGACACCCTCCCGAGGAATCAAGGCCCCGGTCCAGCAGAAAACAGGAGGCTCCCTCAGAAGAACCAAGGCCCCGGTCTAGCAGAAGACAGGAGGCTCCCTCAGAAGAGCCAAGGCCGCGGTCAAGCAGAAAACAAGAGGCTCCCTCAGAAGAGCGAGGCAAATCGAGCCGTGGTCCGCCCGAGGATGCCGCTCGCAAAGCGAGGTCTTACGAGAGAAGGAAAGCAAGGGAGGAAGAGAAGAAGCCTAGTGGCATCAAAGCCAGGTTCAAGAAGCTGTTTTCGAGCTCTTGAGTGGGCAATCAGGAGTACGACGATATGATTTTATGCTATCTCATATGATTTGGGATTCTGTATAACGACTGTATGACGATAATTTTGCGAACTCATTGAAAGATTTCATTATATACTTGGAGCGAATGCTGGACAACAGCAGCTTTGCGATTTCTATTTAGCGTGTTAATATCTCGTTTCTATACAATTTACTATTCATCACTTTCACCACCTTGGAGGCTATTAAATCTCGCTCATGTTGTTCCCATTGACTGATTGAACCATGCACAATCACTCGTATATTGATGCGTGCCAACATGCCACTAAATGCTGTGATGCAGATAACGAAACCTTACACAATTTTTTTGGCCATATGCAAGGGTATATCCCAAGAAACCTTACATATGCTTCATTGATGCTTCAAGGCGCGCAAAATACGAACAAGCCTTTACCGTGGATGTCAATTGGCTTCGATGATGCATTCGTATTACACCTAGGTGCTAGTCTTCTTCAACCTTGGAATTCCTTTGTAGACACATTCGTGAATTTTAAAGAGAGAGAGTTGGCGCTATCCAGCATGATTCTGGGCCGGATATGAAAAATACGAATGCATGAGAGAAATCAGGGCATGATAGCCTTCGGTCCTCATGCTCTCGTATCTGCTGAGCCGCCATGACCTGCCAAGCTTCAGCCATCTTCCTAGCCTACTCCAACCTTGACTTCGACGACACTTGATAGGGTTTAATGAGATCAGCCATCAAAAGTTTTTGATTGGTGTTGGGATTTTTTCGCCAGTCTTGCGTTGCTGGCCTTTGGATGCTGAACCAGCTAAGATCTAGGTATAAATAGACCTGTTGCATCCAGTGTTCGTCAACATGCTGCTCAACCACCGATCGTTACATACCTGGTCGACAATCCATTCTTCGAAATGAAGCTGCCTCTGATTGCTCTCGCTGCCTTATTGACAGGGGCACACGCTGCCCCTGTCTTGAAGGACTCGGCAGTTGCGCCCCGGTAAGGCAGAAAAATGCGAAAGCCAGTTGTTCGATGGCAAATGAACTGACTCTTGACATAGTAAAGGCAACTGGCTGAGCAAAGACAATGAAGCCCTGTACCGTCTGAACTACCCTGACTACCGTGATGATAATGTCCAAGTGCCTCAGGCGGACGAAGTTGGGCAATACTCCGACGATCTTGGTGAGTCGATGCCCACATCACATCCATCATATGCCGAGAGCGCTTGAGCTAACAGAATACAGCTCAATTCGTAGAGGCCCTGCGTGAATATTATTATAAGCAGGCGGTGAAGAAGAGCAAGACGACGACTCCCAGGAAGAAGAGGGTCGCTAAGATTGCTCCTAGTCCAGATAAGAAAACACTCTTGAAGGCTATTCTGGGCAAGGAGGACACCAGAAAGGGCACCCCTCTTCGAAAGAAACTTTCTGAGAAGGCCGCCCCCAAGAAGACCCCCAAGAAGACTATTCCCGTTCGAAAGGAGACTCCTGGGAAGGTGACCACCGAGGACCATGATGCTCTTCCTCGGATCATCGCTCCAAAGGAAGCTTCTGGGAGGGGGGCCACCAAGAAGAACATCAAGATTCCCAGCAAGAAGCCCACCCCCGGCCAGAAAAAACCTCTTAAAGAGGTGCCCGCCAAGGAGCCTGCCACAGTTCAGAAGCCCGCACCCGCTCAGAAGGAAGCTCCCAAAGGGGAGACCATCAAGAAGCCTACCCCCGTTAAGGAGGAAACTCCTGAGAAGAATACCACCGAGAAGAGTAACCCCGCCCAGAATGATTCTACTGAGAAGGACAAATCTACTGAGAAGGATACCTCTACCAAGAAGGATAGCGCTCCTGCTCAGAAGGACACTTCCAAAGAGGACAGTACAGACAAGAAGGATCCAGCACCTTAGGTTTAGGGCAGCACTTGATCCAAACCATGGAGCGATCCTTGTCGAAGTGAGAAGGGGATGTAATGTAAACGGGGAGAATTGCCAAAACTCTTCCGAATTAGTTGGATTGGAAACGTCAAGGTTGGAGGTTGCGATGCGAGAAAGGGATTCTGTTGGTAGACGCGAGAATAGTTTGAACTTATTTCGATTAGTCTGCGCTTCCTCACAACAAATCCTGAATTAAATGGTGATTAGCTCATTTGCCCTGATCTCAAACTGCTCGTCTTTATAAACCTCGACACTCGTAATAGTGCGTGGGCTTAGATACAGTACATTTCATTTCAGTTACATTCATAACCATAACGAACTTAGCTACTAACACAATCAAGATCATTGACGCGTAGCAGTTGTGTATATGCTTTTGCTTTCTATTTCTTTCTCGCTCTTACCTTGGGTCTTCAAAGCAAAAGCACGGAATACTGACAAGTAGATATCGTGAAGGCAGGGAACATGATATTAGGTCACGTGACAGATAATATAAGCGAAATGGGAGATCGGATGTGGACCGGCACCCGGCACATGTATTTATCCGGCGCAACCCTAATTTTCAGCCATTTTCCCATCCCACCTAAAAGTTTTGGTGAAATTCCCCGAAAAAGTTGGTTCCATAACGACAACTAAAACCAACATCTCCATCCCAGGCGCAGGATTCAATTTCTTTGCGTGTTATACCACTCAACATATCAACAATGGCTCCTCAAACAGTATGTACATGATACCGCTTTGCTGTCAAGGCTCTCCCTCCCTGTCCGCCTTCGTTTCATGAAGGCGGGCAGGAGCGAGAAGCCATCAAAAAGTGCAGTAGGCTAAGTCAATTTTTCCCATAACAGAAGAAGGCTGGCAAGGTCCAGAAGCAGACCAAGAAGGTAAGAAGACATTGGCGGGACAATCACCAATCCCTCAATTCGATCCAGAGCACCAATTGAACGCAAGTTTCCTAACACTCCTCCCGCAGTACATCATCAACGCTTCTCAGCCCGCCAACGACAAGATCTTCGATGTCTCCGCCTTCGAGAAGTTCCTCCAGGAGCGCATCAAGGTCGAGGGCCGCACCAACAACCTTGGCGAGACCGTCGTCATCTCCCAGAAGGGTGATGGCAAGATCGAGATCATTGCCCACAACGACCTCTCCGGCCGCTACCTGAAGTACCTGTATGTCTTCAACCCGGACTCCCCCCACGATCATTGACACAGGTGGTTCTAACTCATATCCCACAGCACCAAGAAGTTCCTCAAGAAGCAGCAGCTCCGTGACTGGCTCCGCGTGGTCTCCACCTCCCGTGGTGTCTACGAGCTCAAGTTCTTCAACGTCGTTAATGACGAGGTTGACGAGGACGACGAGTAAAGAAACCCCAAAAAATCGGCGTGAGGACTGGTCTCGCACAACGATGGATTATGAGCATTGATTGGGAAGCGTGGTTCTATTAGGCGAAACGGTCTAGTCGGGATTTATACATATCTCTCATACACATTCAATAATCATACCATTTGAGTGGTGTCCTGGAAAACCAAAAAAATTTCTCATAATCAAGCCAAATTGCTCTGATGATCGCTCCCCCAATGCATGAATGAATACAAACTTTTCACCCTTCCCGTACTTTCCCCGCTCTATAATATCAGACTTTCGTACAGTATGCGCGGTCCTCGTATGCCATGCCACTCGACTCACTCCCCTAAAGAGTCCTCATCACACCCTCCCACACCAGCAATGCCATTGCGTTAGCCGGGAAGGCCCGCAGGAAGCAAGGCAGGAACCCCCTCCAGTAGCCCTTGAGCCCAGACTCTCTGTACACGGTCTTGGCCGCATCCGTCCACCTGTAGAACCTGCGCTCGCCGTCGCCCAGCCCCTTGCCGAGCGGGTCGGTCATGATGCGCTGCTTCACCAGGTCGCTCGGGTAGCTAGTGAGCCAGAAGACCTGCGCGCTCAAACCCCCAGCCCAGAAGTTGATGGCGGGAGTGCTCATGCTCGTGTGGTCCCGCATCCAGCGCGAGAAGATGTCGTAGCTGCTCCACCAGCAGAAGAAGAAGGACCGGAAGATGAGCGTCGCCGACAGGCCGTGGAAGACTCCCCGCACACCGTGGTGGCGGTAGATCTTGGTGAGGCAGTCGATGGGACCCGAGTACAGCCGGTCGGACTTCCTTGCGGCGTACTGGATCTGGAGGCGGGCCTTGATGTGCTCGACGGGCGCCGCGATGAAGCTCACGGTGGCCCCCGCGCACATGCCCGCCATGCCGTGGCCCGCCGCGGGCAGCGAGGGCTTGTCCACGTGGAAGACGTGGGTGGCGATGAGGCGGCGGTACACGTTGAGCGAGCCCATCAGGATCGAGTCCATGAACATCCAGCCCAGCAGCGGCGGCGTGGCTCCCTTGTACAGGCCGCGGAACCCTTCCTGGCTGATGGTCTGCATGGCGCATTGGAGCGGCCCGCGGAATCTGGTGGCGTCTGTGGTCTGCATACGCACCTTTACCGTATCAAAGGGATGACCAACTAAGTTCGAGGTGTCAATGCCACTCTTCCTTTAGAATGGGTGCCGATATACGAAGAGTCTTCTCACCTGTCAACTTTGCAACGCCGCTGAAGACTCCAGCAACGAACCCTTTGTAGTCATGAGCCGACGATGCCTTCTTAGAAGGCTGATCCAGGACGGCGACTGGTGTGATGGCGGCCGCCTGGGCACCAGCTGCCGTCACTGGCGCACTTGAGGGAGGCATTGCAGTGAAATCTCGATCAGCCGGCCAACACCATCAAGAAGACCTACCCGCCGTCGTCCACCGTGTTTTACAAGGATGGCGTCGGAGCGCGCTGCGGACGGTAGCTGGATGCGATGTCGGAGGCAAACTAGCTTATGCCCTATTGCCGTAGTTGGGGTAAGATAGAGAAAGGATTTATTCCTTTCGAGTACGTCAGAGATGACAGCTCTTTATCAACTAAACTGCCCGGAGATAAGGTCAATGATCTGGCCAGCTGCAGGAGAGAAGGGGAGAATGGGACCCAAGGATTGTCTGCCAATCCCGCGAGGAGCATCCATCTCATACCGCCTCCATCTTTATGCTGCTACAAACCTCTTCGGGTGAATCTGCAAGTGTGCTTACTTGCCATCGGCTCCAGCGCCCACCTTACAAATATGATCCAGAATAATAATACAAAATTCACGAAGGGCTATTGGGCCGACCAGTGGGGGATAGCCCTCAAAGGAGACAAGTCTTGCGGGTACGATTATTCTATCGCAACACTGCATTGGTGCCAGGGTTCACTATCATCACACATCGAGTCTGCACATAGAGCAAACCACATTCTCGAGCCCTATCACCAGTATAATCCATCGCAATCTGTGAGAGTAGAGTATGCCATTGTATTATGTATTGAAGCTTAACTGCTTCTCTCGTCGCCGTGGCGCTATCTACTGCTGAAATGCAATCATGTCGTCCCCTTTCTAAGACTATCATCCGCTCTGAAACTTCCCTTTCACTATCATCCCGCCCTTCTCCTTGTCGTTTCGTTCCCATTGGTATTTTCTAAAGCACAAATGTACACAACGCAGCGCTTTTTGCAACTAGATAACCATGTCATATCGTCGTGAGCAATGTGTTAAGACAAAAACTGAAACCCCCCGCTCTCATCCTTCGTTAAAAATGCCGTGATCGGCCCGGCCAATCCTGGCATAAAGGATCTCCCCAAGTACGTTAATGAGTTGCTAATTAATCCAATGTACGGATCTTTCCCGTAATTTTTTTTGAGTGTATTGTTTGCTTTTTGTTTCATGATACTGTTCCTTCTTCAAAGCTAGAAGGTGTCTTCAACAGTCGATGTAAGGGGTTACATCCCGAATAACTGTTGATCATGTGTTGTTTAGTCAACACGTTTGAAAAGCCAGTCATAGCGTTCACCACGGCGGACCTCTGCCTAAAACGTGTCCGTCTCATGGCTTGCAACGGAGCCAAAGGTATCTATGAGTTGTACGTTAGCTAAGACTTCAAATACACATACATACAAGGGCACAAACCTCTCTTTCGGCGTTTTTCCTGGTCATCATCGTGATTCTTTGGTGTCATTGCACGTGGTCCACTTGGTCTGCGGGTAGGGACACCAAGAGCCGCATTGAGATTGCGATTTTCTGGCTTGGGGCTACCAGTAGGAGAAGTGTAGCTATAGCCATCGTCATAAGTTTGGCTTAGGGGACTGCCCTTGGCTAGTCGTGAGATACGGGCCTTGGAAGGGGTAACGCCCGGTGAAGCGTCTAGTGGCTCTTTGGGTGGACGAGGAGGACCGGAGTTACTGCCGGGAGATGTTGGCCAGTTCTCTGCCTCCCGTGTAGCAGATACAGGTGACGCAGGAGTCTCACTGTACCGCGAGGCGCCGTGCTGCATTCTATTAAGGCTTGTCACGGAGCCGGCCCAATCGGCAGACTTGGGTGTCATTGGGTCATTGTATTGTTGAGCTGAGTTTTCCAGTGCGTTCCGGTAGCTCTGTCCAGGACGAGGTTGGGGATGCTGTAGATTCAGCGAGTTTCGATGAGCCCTGTACTTGGGGTCCTCTGTCCCAGAGGTGGACGACTGGAACGGTTGCTGCGACGTCCCTGCCTGGCTTGTTGGGGCGAGACTAGGATCTGAGAATCCGGTGTGAAGCTTGTCTTCGCCATATGGGTCATGCTCGTACCCTTGAGGATCGTAGGAGCCCAGGCTTGATCCTGAGCGAGAAGGAGGTGGCTGGTCATCATACTTGGCGTCCTTCTTACCGCTACCACGTAGAGCTCTTCCCACGCTTGTTGCAGTGCTTTCAGACCATCGCGAGATTTTTGGTAGCCAGCCTGAGGAGCTGCTCGACTTGTGCTTTTTTCCCTTTTCAGTTCGAGGAGTGTTGTCGGCACTCAAAACCTGTTGGCTTTGTGGGGACTGTTGCAACGGACTACCGGGTGGTAAAGAGCCACCTCGGGGGGTTTCATCGAGGTTGGCAGTGCTACCGGCCTGTCGGTTTGATGGGCTGTGATGGTCGAATTGATACTCATCATCATGTTCTTGAACAGTGCTGACCCTATTGTCAGCGAGCTTGCGATCGTTGCCTATCTTTGCAGCAGTACCGCGAGACTGAATAGAGAGGTGGCCAGAGTGGCTAGCATAACTAGCAGTAGACACTCCTTCGGGCTCATATCCTTGGTCTTGCTCGTATTGGCCTTCTGGCTGTAAATTTTCGATAGATTGACCACGTCCACTAGACCCGGGAGGGGCAGTCTGATTCTTGAGCACATCAACCTCTCCGAGTAGTTGCATGAGCATGTCTTCGATACGGCTCAGATCATTGGTACCCTTGGCACCCAGTCCAGCGAGGGCTCTCTTCCAAAGATTCTTCTTCTTGTTCATCATAGAATCATCGGTTCCTGGTTGTGATCCACTTTGGATGGAGCGCGCTACGGTACCAGGGAAAGGACGAGGACCGTTAATCGCCTTTTGCAGCTTCTCCGTATTCTCGACATTCGCGAAGATGATATCGTCGCCGGTGTCTTGCATAAGTTCCTTCATTTCTTGGAACGATTGTCTCATCTCGAGCGCTGCATTCATTAAGAGCGCGATGATCTCGGTGTCACGAGCGCTTCGCTGAGCGTCACGAACCATAAGCTATGAGCAAGTGTCAGTCAGTTGAGTCCTTAGTTTTCCTAAGACGATTGTAGGGTTTGGGCTTACATGTTGCATCAGGGATACGATATCCTTGTTCTCTATTCTGTCGATACCAGCTCCTGTAGCAGCATCATAGAATGGTGATGCCATACCTTGGGACATGCCGCTAAAGTGGCGAGAAACGTCCTTGGAAACATAAAATGGGTCCTCGCCCATTGCTGGCTTGTTAGCATCGGCAAAGGTGAGCGCGGCTTTGCCCTTTGGCTCAACATCTGGTGACCGATTCGACATATAGCCTTCATCGAATTTCTGTGCGAAGTTGGGGCTTCCGGTATGGTACTGCGGACCGAAAGAACCAGCCAGGTTGCGTGCCCCCAAAATGTTCTCGTTCAGGTTAGGGTTGACGATAGGGCTGGCATCCTCATAGGGGTTGGTGAGAAGCGTCTCTCGCTTGCGATCATCCGACGTTCGCTGCCATTCATCTGGCTCCTGGCTTGCTTGGCGGCTGTGAGATGCTGTGGCAAGCCCTGCGGCAGCTCCGGCAGCCGCAGCAGCGCCCAAGGTCTCGGAAATTCCAAGGCCATTATCACCAGGGGTGCCCTGTTGTTGTCTTTCTTGGGCAACGCTTCGCTGTGTTGGTGTTGCCCGGCCAGACAGCTGTCCATCATCTTCTCTATCGAGGCGGTCTTGCATGATGGACGAGTTCGTCCTGGCATCTTCATCGATATAACCAAGAGCAGGGTCAGGGTAATCCATATCAGGCAGACCGCTATAGCCGAACTTTGGCTCAGGCTCTTCTTCAAAGCTAAACCTGTCAACGCTGTGAGTAGGAGTATTTCGAGGCTCCCATCCGTCCTGTGTACGCTGCTTGAATGATCGGTTTCTGTTCACTCCTGCTGGAACATAATCCTCAGTGTCCTGACCAGGAGCGTGCTGCCTTTCCTGAGCAGCCTTGAGTGCTGCGGCTGCTGCGCCTACAGCTCCCGCCGTTATCGCAGCTTCAGAGGCCGTTGGCGATTGTCGGTATTTTGTGCGAGTGACAGGTACCTTACGACCATGGTCATCAACATCGTACTCCGAGTATTCTTGTGATTGGGCTTGGGACCTAGCTCCTGGTGTGGCATGTCTTTCTTCGGTAAAGTCCCGCTGGTCTTCGCTAGATTGCTTTTCTGGGCTTCTGTCACGGCTGCTCTGGGTCCGAGCATCGTAAGAGAGCGTAGAATCACGAAGCCCGTAGGGGGAGCCGCTGGTGAGCACCGACTGGTCAAGCATTGATCCATCAACCAGAGATGCAACAGCAGATTCAACTCCCAATGGAGGATGAACAAAGTTTGGATTGGCGCCAATGCCTTGGACTGGCTGCTTTGATGGAACACCGCCGGCCTCGCTGTCAGTCGAAAGTTTTCCGGCGCTCCTCACGCTTTCGTCGCTCATGGAATACTGATCAAACTCTCTGCTTCGCAAGTTGCTTGGGGTAGATCTTAATGATCCAGCGGAGCCCCCATACGCTCCACGGTCCATTGACTTCGATGGGGAAGGATAAGCATCGCTAGCTGCTGAGTGCAAGCTTCTTGAGTGCCTAGGGTGCTGTGCCTCGCTTCCTCCCTCGGTGTAGCCAGAGACACTGGGAATTGGACTTAGACCGCGAGCGCCTGCTTGATATGGCACGTACTTGAGCGGTGGGGGCACGTCTTGTGTGTGATAGTACTGCTCCTCGAAGGTCTGTTCAGGATAGTCACCTTGGTCCGAGTATTCGGGGTCGTCCTCCACATATTCGTCGTGATATCTGATGGGGATCTTCCGCCCATACTCATCAGTCTCGTATTCTTCAGCAAATCCGTCTTTGTTCTCACGGGGAAGCGCCGTCAGATCACCATGCGATACATTGGCATGAGCGGTACCAAGCGGATGTAGAAGGTTATCGGGTGATTGTGGGTATGTAGCTCCTCCCTGCTGGTTGCCGGCTCTCGGGATGTCATGTATCATTTCCTCGCTGGCCGAATGAGGTCTATCAGATTCCGCAGAAAGAATAGATGTTCTCGTCAATTCGGATGGGTTGCCTTCACTCATCAGCGGCATTGGCGGGGCCGGAGCCCACTCTTCCTCTTCATACTCCTCAACATGACGATCACGTCCAAGACTTCGGCTTCGAGACGTGTCTGTTCTCCTCCGCCTTCTGTCCCGCTGTTTTCTCTCCTCAGATTGGGACTTGTCATCCAGAAGCGAGAGTCCTTTGCTAAGAGCGGCGCCTGCGGCAGCAGCCTTGAGCAAGTCACCCCGTCTAGGTGTCGAGGGGGCAGTATCATGATCCCGATAATCATCATTCATTGATTCACGGCTGATACTGCGAGAGGAGCTGTCAACATATTCATGACGAGCCTCCCTATTACGCCTCTCCTTAAGGCGGCTCCCATCTCTTGTAGATTCGCTTCGCTGGCCCGAAGACCGCCTGCGGTCTGGGGTTACGAGATCTTCCCGAGAGATAGAGGTTCCTTCAGATGTGACGGAGTCACGGCGGGTCTCCCGCTTGCTTTGTTCGCGCTTCAAAGCACTCAGCTCGGGCAAAATCAACCTTCTGATGGCATCCTCCACAGTTTCCAACAGCTTAGGGTTGTTGATGGAAGATTTGGATGCACCAGAGCGGTTGGAATGTGTCTCCACCGAGCGATGGCTTTGAGAAAAGTTGGAGGATACGACACTGGAGTCTGCAGCTGAGACAGCAGATTCCAGTCCGCGACTCGACCGGCGCCGGGGCGACTCGTCAACACGGCGTTCAGAAGAAACATTGCTCGTCCTACTTTTAGTCCTCCTCTTCCTCTCTGGTCTCTCCTTTGACTTGTCTGACAACTTGACACGCTCGCGGCCTCCAGACCGGCTTTTATGCGTGCTATCTGCATTGGTGTGGCTTTCCGACGCAACACCCTCGCCCCTCGACGGACTCACGCCGCGCTTGACATCTGTTCCTGGGCCTGATCCCGATCCGTCTAGAAAGCTATCTGCGGGGATCGCAGAAATCTCTGAAGCATTGGCAGCTTGGTATGTTGCTGCCTCTGATGGGATCAGAGGGCTAGCAGGTCTCCGACGACGGTAACTTCGCTCGCCTCGATCAATTTCAATGTCGATTGGATTTCTCGAGACAGTTGACTCCTCAGTTGCTGATGCATAGGACGTCATGCTGGTTGAATCGTCACCGTCAGTGAGTTCAATCTCACGGGGCGAGTGTATGTTATCCAGGGGGATACGACGAGTAACAGAGGCCTTTCTGGAGCCTTTGGTGGACTCTGTGAGCTGAATATGATCACCCCTGCCCTTCCTGGAAGGCGTCAGTCGAACCCGGACGCTCGGTTTGCGTTCAGTGCTGGTCGAGCCACCGACGGACGATCTTCCTCCCTCAAAATATTCTATTAACAGAGAAGTCTGCGATTTGCTGGCTTTATGGCCGCGAGTGCGGATTGTGACGGGAGTTCCGTCGTCAGGGATCGAGTATGACGACTTTTCGTCCCCAGGCTTGGAAAGTTCGGTGGAGGTCAGTTCCGTTGGGGTTGTTGTGTCGGTTTCTGTCGGGGCGGGGAGAGGGAGAGGGACTTTTCTGGCGTCGATGCCCATTTTAATGTGATATTAGGTGAAGAGCGTTCCAGTCTCTTCGGTCAGTGCTTTGCGTGTCGATGCTCACTTTGAAGAAAGTGAAGGCGCAAAGCCGATTGTCGATGCGTGTGGAGGCCAACGTGAGGAACTTGCACGTCAAGGCATCCGGGCACTATCGAAGGCCAAAGGAAAAAAAAACTCTAGATTTTCCCACCTATCAGTCTCAGACAGTCGCCACATGGGACGACAACTCCGATCCGAGAACTCACACAAAGAAACGAAAAAAACTGGCCGAAATGCAAGACGAGATGAAGAACGGTCTGGGCAAGCAGACCTTAACGGCAGTAAGACCAGAAGTGCTGAGCGGTGGGGGGTCCAAAAGGTGGGCAACTAGCCGATGGCAGGGTTAATGTTGCAGCCGGGCAACCAGATATGATGAGCTCTCTAGGCAAAAGGGAACCGGGATGCGATGGGTCGAGGGCTTTAGCGGCTCTCCCCCGGACCTTGCAGGCTGGTTGCTAGGGGCTCCCGAAGCGTGCTGCGAACGAATACGTCGGATGGCAAAGCAAGGAGCATGCATTCGTTTTGTGCTGGGCTGTGGAAAAGAAAAACCCCCGAGCCAAACTGGGTGATCACCTCGATTGTTCGCAGCTCTGCGTTGGCGCAGGAGGATTCTGCAGGGGAGAATGGCAGGCAGCACGGCAGCCAACGACAGAGTGATGCCCGATGTACACAGTTTGTTTTGGTCGAAATGTGCGGCTGGGGTGGAACTGCTTGATGAGTTGGCGCTGCCGGCGAGCACCACAGCGTGGGCCAATAATTCGTCGAGGCAGGGGTTTAGGGTGGTTGGAGTCTCTGGAGGACAGCATCGATGAGCTGGTACGTATTCGTGCCAAGGACCTCTGGTGCTGGGGAACGTTTGGGTGACCCACTTTAGCCAATCTGCTTTAGGGCAGGTGCCACTGAGGTAGCAATTCTTCCCAGACATGGGAGAGAAATGGAAGGCGGGAACGATTGATGCTAGTGATCATTCGCTAGGCTTTTCGCCAGGACGGGAGCCTACCTATGCTCATTGTTTCCTCCTATGAGGGGGTGGTTGGGGACAAACAATGGGCTGAGTTGGCTTCTTTTCCTTAGGGTAGCGTTCTAGCGCACACTACTGCCGCCAGCAGCAGCCTGAGCGAGTGAAATACCTCCGCGACAACCGATACCGGCTTCTCTGAGGCCTTTCGCCCGTTCGGCCACTGTTCATCTCAGCGGCGGCCTGCCTGGTACTTCTGAGGTACATGGAAATGAAGAAGATTCTGTCACGGCACGATTACATCACAGGTGAACCTCTAGTACTAGTAGCATTATTCCTCTCAGACACCGCCACTACCCATGCCTGGGCTGTTGGGTAGCACGTAGCAATAATGAGATATCCCCCCGGGGCACTGCCCATGGTAATGCCGATGGTCAGGTGCGACATATTTCACTGTGAAACAGCCCTTGGAATCACACTCGGAATCACAGTCGCACATGAGCACCATCTGCCAACCATCTGCCCCGTATGCACGCGAGCAACAGCAGTGGCGTTGCGTTTCCAACGCTGCTAACCTGGGTATCCCTACCCTTAGCCCTACCTCACTCCCGTTCACTGACCACATCCACCCGAGACAAGCAAGGCATGCCTTCAATTTTGCTCTCGATATGCGAGCAAGAGGCCCTGGGCCACCCGCCGATCGAACGACTGTGGATATAAGATTCCACACGCAAGTTCTAGTCAGTTATACCCAGCAACTGGGCCGCCTGGCTCTGGGTCGTCCCCCATTGACAAAGGCGGGCTTGACGGGGAACATGCAAGTGGACATCACATGTCACAGCATGCCCGAACAGAAGCGCTCGGAAGATCGACTTTTGCAGGGGTCATCTCTTGTTCAGTTGCAAATTGAAGCAGAAATCACCCGAGTCATAGTGAGACCTCCGTAATCCCTGGCAGGCCAACAGTGAGGTTTCGTCCACCCAACTGAGCCTATCGGTCTATCGCTTGAGCATCAATTTGAACAAATGAGTTCAGCTCCAAGTGGTTTTAAAGATGCGATAGACGAGCATACCAGCTCAAGGACTGGAGTCCGTTAGCAAACCCTCGTGACTAGGCGAAAAGTGAAACATTTTTTCTGGCCCAGGTGATTCGTAACGTTGTCTCAAACTTCAAGCTCCAATCTTGATTCCTCTGTCAAAGGGCAATTTCAAATGTAATACGCACGCCACCACCATTTTACCTTAGAGACTAAAGTCCAAATATCAAGAACAATAATATCAAAGATGCGTATTATAATAAGTCTTACGGTCAAGCATCCAGCTGATATAGCAAGTATGTTTGTGTTAGTTTCCGAAGCAGCACTATAAACGGTTTGGCAGGCCGGGGAGTGGTCTTGAGCTAGGTACTCCCCAGCCACTATTTGAGCCACTTCAACCTGCAAAAAATCCACCACATAACCAACCACCCTCCTTCACACAAACCACCAACCTCTCTGTTAGCATCACAACCAATTTTACGATACACCCATCGTCGCGCATTCTAAAACAATGCCTCGTGCCATCAGAGGTCCGTCAGCTATCGGCCCCTGTACGGGACGCCTAAAACACCAGCCCAATTGTGTAGTAGCTGCTGACACACTCGGCCAACAGGCGTGCTGATCGAGTGCGATCCCTCCATCAAGTCCATCATCGTGAACATCGACAGTAAGAACCATGACTTCATCATCGAGGACCTCGACGAGGAGCGTGTCGTCGTCAAGGAAAACATGGTCGGCGAGCTGAAGCGGCGACTGGAGGATGTGAGCCATCATCCCACCCCGTCTACATTGTCACTGGCATTGCACGGCGGTTCTAGATGCTCGTTTCATTGTACACTAACAATCTATCACCCAGCGCCTCAAGGAAAACCTTCCTCCCGTAGAAGAATCCGGATCCGAATAACGCCTCCTCCCCTCCCGAACTCGCACGACAAATCTACAACTTCTCAAACGTCGGCTTCGTCCGCTTCAGACCGCTCAGCAGAGCCTTCTGGAAGTCCTCGCTCTGCACATTCGCCGAGTTCCAAATAGTTGTATAACGAAGGCTGTCCACGGTCCCGTGGTCCCTCCCGTAATTGAGCAGCTCCTTGGTGCCCTGGACCGCCACGGGGCTCTTCTCCGACAGTCGCGCCGCCATCGCCAGGCCCGCCTCCACCGCCTTGCCCTTGTCCTCGTGCACGGCGCTGACGAATCCCACCGACAATGCCTCCTGCGCTGAGAACTCCCGCGCCGACATGCAGACGTCCTTGACCCACGAGGTCGATCCCACAACCTTGGGCAGGCGGGCCAGCGTGCCGACGTCCGCAGCGATGCCAATGTCCACCTCCTTCACGGAGAATCGGGTGTTGGCGGCGCAGATGCGTATATCAGCACAAGTGGCAATATCGATAGCCAGTCCGAACGAGACACCATGTAGCACACAAATAACAGCTGTTTCCCCCCAATCGTACCCCAAGGTTAGCATCGTGCATGACGGTAGACACCTCGTAGAACATCCCCCCTTCCGCTCCTCATAAAGAAAGACTCCAAGGTATGAGACTTACGTTTCTCACACTTCTCCATCGCCCCAACGCAAACTTGAAACTCCTCAATCGTCGCCCTCAGAGCCTTCGCCCTCCTCGCCACGTCCCGCGACAAGCCCTTCTGCTCAAACATGCCGCTCGAGTCCACCACGTCCAGCCCGGCCGTGAACGCTTTATCCCCCGCGCCGCTCAGCACCACAGCCCGCACGTCGGCGTCGGCGCTCAGCTGCTCAAACACCGCTCCAAACTCGAGCCAGACGTCGCGCGCAAAGGCATTGAGCTTCTTGGGCCGGTTGATCTCCACGTGCGCTACCCCAGCGGACGGGGCGCTGACCACGAAGTGCGTGTACTTTTGGTACTCCGGCGACGACGATGACGTTGACATTTTGAACAGATGTGAAGGAGTCGAACTTAAAACGAAGATTGTTGGTGAGCTATGAGAGAAATCGATAGGGTTAGAAAATCAATGTCAGAGGAACACTTCGGATTGCTGGGAGGCAGTTATAAGCCATAGGTATGATAATAATAGTACTACTCCCTGCCGTCTTTGATGCCGAGGTCGTAATGAGAGCCGCCCCATCCCGTGTGGGGACCCCGGCTTTCCACATGACAGGCACTCCGCCAGGCTAGGCAAGAAGATGCAGTGAGCTAGGTTTCGAATTCCTATTTACATTTGCTCCCGGAGTCGACTTCTTCACGCGATTGTATACTAATTTATTACCACGTCGATTGAATCAAGCATATATTAAGGTACCAAGACTAGCAAGGGAAAAAGAGAAGTCAAGTTACATCTATGTATAAACAAGCCAGAAAAACCTTGGCAGAAACTGCAAACCGTTTACCAGGGGGCAAGCTAAATAGAGCCCCGACCGTTACCAGACGCCTTGTTAATCTGCTTTGAAGTGCGCAATAACATGTTTACCTCCATCGTCCTAAGCAATGCAAGTTTACTATATCCATCCTTCCACCTGGGACCCTTGCTCGGAGCCGAGTCCCTGTCATTAACCCAGAAACATCTTCATTTTCATTTCTCTACAGCAAGAAAACGCCGACCATGGAGCCAAAAAGGGCGGCAGCAGTGACGGCAATAGGAACGCGAGTAGAGGGGGCAGCACCCTTATCATCTGATCCGCTGCTGCTTCCAGAAGATGTAGGAGAAGCCTGGCCAGATGTGGCGCTGGCGGTGGCAGTGCCAGAGTCACCATCAGTCTGGGAGCCCTTGCCCTTTAGGCCAGGGCCATCACCGGCACCGTTCTTCATGTACTTCTCGGCTTGGCTGGGCATGTCTGGAATGAAGGTGGAGTCAACGTTCCAGTCGGCGTCCTTGCCAGGGCACTCAGAGGACGAGGTCTCCTTGGCGGCACCGCCGTCGGTGGTGGGCATAGGGTACTTGGCGAGCTTCTTCTTGAAAATGTCGAACTCATCACGGTGAACGACCTTGTTATCCTTGATGTCGACGATACCGTACTTGTTGGTCTCGTAGGTGTACTCATACATGAGACCACCGGAGTAGACAGCAGTCATCTTGTCGCTCATGAGAGCACCGAGTTCCTCGAACTGACGGGGAGTGTTCTCAATGCAACCCCACTCAGACAAACTAGGTAACAATATTAGCATGATTCAATCCACTGAGGTCGAAGAGAGAGGCTTACAAAATGGGGAGACCATAGTCAGTAAAGTTCTTGACCTTGATGTCCCAGCCGGAGGTCTTGAAGTCACTGTTGCACCAAGAGTAATCGTTGAAGGCGAAGAAATCGGATCGCATATCATCAGAGCCACAGTTGAAGTAGTGGGCGGTCTGCATACGGTTCTTAGCGACATCAGCAGCAGAGTACCCAACGGGGATCTTGCGGAGACCACGAGTGCTGATGTAGTTGCGGATATCACGGGTGACGGCCTTGACATAGGGAGCGGACTGGTCAGTGTCGTTCTCGTCGTTGATGACCTCGTTTCCGGAGAAGAAAGCAGCGGTATTGTCGTACTTGGCGAACATCTCAACAGTGGCGAAAACGCTCTGCAGGTAGGCAGCGTTGTAAGACAGGTGAGGGTCGGCACGGTTGATGGAGTACTTCTGGTTGTTGACATCGAGAACAACGTAGATGCCAGCATCAGCCAGAGCATTCATGCACTCGTCGTGGTTCATGCTGTTGTCGACAGCATAGACACGGATAGCATTGATGCCCAGGTCCTTGAACTCGGTGATGTCTCGCTTGCAAACATCGGGATCGGCGAGGGGATCGGTGTTGGCAGCATCACCACCGGGCTGGTAGTCGACACCACGCATGTACCAGCGCTTGCCATCAGCCCAGAAGGCTGTTCATGGTCAGTCATGTGCATCATTTTGAGGCATTGCATTCGAATTGCGGTACTCACCTCGGCCAGAGGCAGAGATAGCGGGGAGAGAAGAGGCGCGCTTGCTGGGTGGCTCCTGGACCGTGCGGGTGGGGTTGGCTTGGACGCTCGCCAAGAGCCCGAGTGAAAGTAAAGCGACAGACTTCATCTTGTAGATTTCACGTTCAGAGAGTAATCGAAATTAATTGCCGGTGTAGTGGGTGAATTTCGAGTAGCGAGTGTGTGGATGGTCGAATTGTCGAAAAGGGAAGAAGAAGAGTCCCCGAAGAGAGTGAGGGAACGTCAAGAAAAGGGAAGGGAAGACAGTGATTAGGAGTGGTCTTCTAAACAGTCCAACAGCGAATGGGTTGGAATGCAGGAAGGAAGAAAGGAAGAAGGCTGGATGTCGGAGAGAGGAGGAGGGATGGTGTTGGAACGGAAGGGGCCTGAATAAAAGAAACAGGATTCCGCGCGAGCAGCAGGTTGGCTCTAAAAGCTTGCTTCCCGGGCCCAGTCCAACCCAATGACGCCCACACGGTGCACAGGAGAGCTGTGGACCGGTGGCCAATCATTCATCTCGCGAGGATGAGTGTCTCGTGTTTGCCAAACATGGCCGCACGGTGCATGTTTCGGCCACCGTCCAAGGAAAGCAGCTCCACTCGCAGTTGGTGTGGAGGGAGCGTAAAGACGTCAGAAATGGAGGGTGTCTGCATCAGTCGAAAGGGATGGGCCACATCCTTGTGGGGCCTCCTCCCACGCAGCAATGCGTCCAGACAGGCACAGTATGTATGTACGGCAGAGGGAGATGAGAATATCGTGCGGTCGATGGGCGTTACAACGGGGTCTCATGAGTACTGGCCTGAGGATTATCCCTCCCGTCTCCACCGCAGATAGCTCTGTAACTAGGCATTGCTGATGTCTGCCCACAGATAATAATACTTGATACCGAAGGACCTACCTATTCTCGTGGGTTCTCGGATGCACGAGATCCAGGAGGTTATGAGATACACAGCCAGGTTTCAATCACGAAGACAGGGAAGACAGGGCAGACACGAGAACAGTACTCGGACAGGTCGTTGCAGATTGGGAAAACTGGAGCAAGCCAGCGTTGGCAATTGGTCGTGCTTGATTCACCCGTACCTGGACACGAGATGAGATGAATTTGCCACATGCAGCTGCTGTTGGTGGTTCTTTACCTGCCGACGGAACCGAAAGGCGCCGTCTGATCAAGTTAGTGCAAGCCCCAGGAACCCGTTCAACCGTCGCTGCCTTTCTAGCTTTTGTGGCTTCCAGGTGGACAATGGCTTAGGCACGGGTTATCGACACGAACTAGGCAGTTAGTGAGATGCTGAGGGAGGGAGCTGTCCATGAGAATCCCAGACGGCCTGCTGGTGTGTGTACCCCGTACTTCTTGCCGCCGTACTTTTGTCATGCCCGTATCCCAAAGCTTCGCCTCAATGCGCATGACAGCCTGTCATGTTGAACCTGTGACGCCGGTACATCGAAACGGGCGGCTCCTGCCAGGCATCCGACCAATGAATATGCATATTTTGGTCTGGCGAGCTAAGCTTCACAGCCAAGCACCAGATGATACGCAAGAGGCCATCTCCAGATCCCTTGAGCTTGATAGTCTTCCCTGCCTTGTCTTGCCAGCAATGCTGCTCTCTAGTCACTAAAGGCTCAGCAGATTGTTGGTTCCAGCTGAGTAGATAACCCAGTAATACACATCCATCTTCGGCACCAGCGGGCATGGAATCCTCGGAGCCGCGGTCTCCAGTAAGCGGTGGATTGCCTGGGGTTCCTTGCCAGCCAACATGCATCTCGATCCACAAGCCCCCTTTCCTCAGTTCAGTCCCAGCGTGCAAGACCCAATTGCATGTTTTCCAGACGGGCACCTTCTAGTAATCCCAAGGAAAATCCTTGGCTAGGGGTGGAGGGAGTGATCTGATCTTCAGGGGCTGGTGCTTCCTACCGCGAAACGACCGAGTGGAAGCGTCTGCCGAAAACTGGGGCACCCAAACAACCCTTCCTCAGCCATCCATCCATAATCTCAATGCTGTTTCTAAAATTTCAATCGGCGCTCCTCAGCGTACAGTGCGCTCCACCGGCACCAACAATTAGCTATGGGATGTTTCAAGTACGCCGGCGCGTCATAGCACCAGTCGCGACACACCCGTACCTAGTCGAGTTTATTGCCATCTACAGAGCTACCGTGGACGGGCTCCGCTTGATCGCCAAGCTCCAAAGGCCCTTGGAGCCAAGTCTTGGCCAAGAGATCTCCCCGGGGCGGCACTTGATGGCGTTGAAGACGCCATCGCTTGAGCCTCACCACACCCAAGTCCCAAGCGGCCAGGAACGCCCAGTTGGTCCCAAGCAGAAGCTGCCCTGTTTGCCTGAGCATTACTCGAACGGCCAATATAGTTTAGTTTAGCGGAGATCCTGTAATTTATGGGCACCTGGACTCGCCAGGAAGCCGCCGGCCGGTAGGGCAGGTAAGGCGAGCAGAGCCCACCTATGGCCCATATCAGAGCATAAGTAATTACGCATAACATAGTGCGTTGCGGAAAGATGGGACCATGAGGTTGAAATCTTATTTGTTTTCACGAATCTCCCGCCCCATAGAAACCTTCCAGGTGAGAATATATTACCACGTCAGATCAGCTACATCGTAGATCAAGGCAGAAAGGAATGATATAGTCTATACGCGCCGCTAAACAGGAAAATGAGTGCAGATAGATGGTCCAAGCCATTTTAGTGGGTGGCCTCCATTTGGGTAGGCCCAGTCTAAACATCAAAAAGCTTCTCAACCCCGGCCCAGGTTCCACGGGCTCGCTCCTCCCAATAGCCATCCTTGCCTCCTTTGATTTTCCAAACTTCTTCCCCTTCGGGCGTGTCCTCGGCCTTGACAAACCACCGCGGCTTGTATGGCTCGCCGCTGTCTTCCACCACTCGTCGACGGGCACGCTGAGCCTCCTCGAGCTTGACCTTGACGTCATCCGCCTCGTCAAAGTTGCCAGCTTCGGCCAGTCGCTGGTCCGGTCGGAATCGACAGTCACTAGGGGGAAGCTTACCCTTCTCCACCTCTGTAATTTCATTGAGGCTGGCCGCGAAGACTGTCAAGCCATACGTCTGCGCAGCATTGTCGACAAGCTCGCCGGCATTCCAAATATCGTAGCTGGCTGCCTTGCCGGGCCCCACCGTCCGAAGCTCGCTTGTCCAGTTTCCTGTAAGACCGCTCCCAGTATTGCTGCCGTCAGGACCAAATGTAGTTGCGTGAACTTCCTCCACCCTTCCACCAAACATGCCCTTGCTCTTAAATTCGACTGTGGCCTTGTGCCCGGTGCTGTCGTTGAACACGTGCATTGAGCCAACAGGCTCCATGTATTTCTCACCCATCACCACATTGCGCAAGAACATGGTGGCAATGTTCCACGAGTAGAGCTCGTCTTCCCCGTCAGGTAACCGGAGCGCAATGCGGACACGACCCTCGGTTGTAACTTCGGCACTCTTGCCCCAGAACTTCTGCCCCGGTGCGGGAGACTGGGAGAATGACCAATTGGCTGAGTCTGCCTGCATTGCAAGTCTGAGCGGGCGATGCTGGACCTTCTCTACGAGGAGTCTGAACCCGCCGGGGACCTCTTGCTCTGTACGCACAAGCTCAAATGTCTCGCCCAGCAAGGGAGTGAAGGGTTTCCTTGCAGCTCGCTCTCTAGCCCGATTACCGCTAAAATGCGAGACTGCAAATGCAGTAACGTACAAGAGACGCTCGGTTGGACCCTTCTGCCTAACAGCTTGGTCCAGTAAAGTAGCATATTCCAACTGCTCTGCCACCTTCTGCAAGAGAGAGAGCGGTTCATTCGCAGAAACAGGCATAGCAATAGTACTAAAGTCCTTACCGACATTCTTTCGGGCAAAAGCAATCAAGCTTGGTGGCGCAACTGTCGCTGGGGGGATCGTTGTTCTTCTTTGAATAGTCATATTGACGGGTAGTGGCGAGAGATTCTTTGGTTTGGCGGGGAAGAGATGACCGACATCTCCAGGGATGACATCCTCATCATCGTCCACAGATGAGACGGAAGAGTTATCATGAAGTGATCCGACCTCGTCAGAGTGGGTTTCTTCGTCATCGCTTCCATCAACCTTGACCACAGCGTTGTCGGCCTCTTCAGCATCAAAGAACTCGTCCAAGGATGATGCCGTAGTTTCTATGCTCTTACGAGAGGCTCCCGCCGGCGACATGGGAGATTGGAGTCGTCGGCGCTTGCTCGTGTTAATGAGTGAGGTAAACTCGCTCACAACTGAGTCAAGGTCCGTCAACAGGGATTGACAATGATCTTGGAGTGAAACCTCGAGCTGCGCTTGGCTCCTAGACGGCTTCCGACCATGAGAAACTACTCTTGCGCCGTTGGCAGGTACTGATGGCACCACACCGTCAGGTGAGGGCACAGCTAGTGCCGAGGCAACCAGTTTCTGTGTGGAAGAGGTCGGCGGGGCGGCAGTTGACTTACGCCTCCAAAATGACTTTTTCTCGGTGGGAGCAGGGAAGTAACCTTCTCTATCCTCACTACCAGCACTGGGATGTCCAGGGGACAGTAGGCTGTTGGCGCTGGGCGAAGCCATTGGGACATGAGCAGGGGTATTGACATGGGCCGGGAGTGATGCCTGGGCGGCTACCTCCTTTGTCAATCGCCTGAGGGCATCTCGGGTTCCCACGACACGGCTGACCAAAGCCTCGACTTGCTGCCATTCTGTATCCTCCTGGTGGCTCATCAGGCGAGAGGTTTTAAGCAGCTGCGGAGAGTCGGCATTTGGTCGAGATTTTGTAGATGGTGATGGTCGAAGCTGCGTCTCCATCCCGCGTGCAATTCGGCTTGCCTTTTCCAATGCCCGGGCCCAGTCTTGGAACTCCTTGCTGTTGGGCGCTCTGAGATGCCATACCTCAGCTCCGGAATCGATGCTGATTTCCCTTCTGCGCTCGTCTGCGGCGATAGCAGCCAAGCTAAGAGGAATCGCGCCTCTGAGGGCGGAAGAATTGCGGTTGTAGTAGTATGATAGCGTGCAGGTAGAGTAATCGAGAGAAAAGAATCTGCGAGCGTAACCCTGACCTTTCTTACGCCGCCGCTTAGAGAGCGTTCCAACATGATGGTTGGGAGATCCTCCCTCACTGCGACCTGAAGCTGAAGTTGGACGAGCTACGGCGGTGTGGCTGTGAAGGCTATCAGAAGAGGCAGAGGCGATGCCCTCGGTGGGCTGGGCGTGCTTCCCGAGGCTTGTCTGGCTACCTCGAGCATTCGGCTGCTGGAGGTTTGGCAAGTGATTTGCTGACTGGGGCGGGGCGCCGGTTGGATAGGTCAAGATGACGAAGGTAGCTGTTTTAGACGTCTGTTTTGAAAACGTGTTGTCGAATACGAGACCGTACATGCCGCTCTGACCCGTCGGGATGTCGTGGGTGCCCATGGAAACTTTGTCGGCCTCGCACTTCCCGATCCATGCTATGGAGATGAAGCCCTTGCCCGACAGCAGCTCCTGGGCTGTCGTATCCCGTTTATGGAGCCTCCCCGACTTCCCCTCGGATGTGCCATGAGTGTGCGGTGATCCAATGTCATTGTCGGTCGAAAGTAGTATAGGGTTCGCTCCAGTGCCTGGGTGCTTCACAATGCCAAAATTTCTGTAAAGAGAGAAGACGTGTCAGCTTCGTTGCTCGGGAGGTCGTTCGCGGGGCGCGCGTCGGAGTCGCATACATCGACTTCTTATGAGGCTGTATACTCCATGAGATCGTGTTGCCTTCGTCCACCTGAACCCAGCGAACGATGTAGGACTGCAGCACAAGAAATTGTTAGAACCACATGCGGTGCATTGGTTGGAGGGGAGTTGGAACTTGCCCTGCTGTGAACCTCGAGATGCTCGATGCCCGCCATTTTGGGACGTTAACGAATGTTAGGAATTGTTTTGCCAAATAACTATGAAGGAACGAACACCAGAGGCACTACCACAAGCTGTCGGTAGCGCTTAGATATCTTCCATATCGGTCGTGTCAGATAGTAATACGAGTTTATTTGGGACGGGAGGCTCGTGTATTCGTAATGAAGCTCAGCCCGGGAGATGCGGAGGCTACCCAGAAGTCCTAACAGGCTGTTTCATACGGCGTCCAGCCAAGCCTTACGCCTCAGCAGGGAAGCAGTGGACAGCTACGCACTGTAAATGAATTGGCACGGTCTTAGCCCCCAATAGCTCGCCGACACCAGCCAGTGATTTCCTCTGCTGGGCACTGTGCGAGCTCGGATCCACATTCCTTGGGGCACCAAGCTCAGCTCACCACTCAGATTCCAGCATTTGCTTACCTAGTAGGCCAGCTTTCCATTCCCCCTCCTTTCCCTCCAACCCTAATAACCTCCGAGGCAACGTGGCTGCCAACGTGCCTGGGCAGGTGATGGGCGTCACTATGACGGTTTCGTGGTTGGCCATCTGTTTTGTTTACATTGCAATTCCAATGCAGGCTCGTTCTTCTTCTCCCCGCTATGTACCCAAACCCTCGTCTCGATGACGATGTACATGATGCAAATAATACAAGATGACCATGCATGCCATGTACTTGCGAGATAGGGACCCCAATTTGACGCGTAATCTCAGGGATTGGCTGGGCATTCTTACTATCTCACCTTGCCAGGCTCGTAACTGATTAAGCACCAAGAGACTGGGACTGATCAAAACAGGCAAACTTCCAAGATAGCACTTTCGCTTACTCCATCACCAACCAACATGTAGAGTCACCATGCCATTAATGAAGAAAAAAAAAATGTATCCATGTTAGTACATTGGTGGCATCAAGTAAAGGGAAGGCCTAGCCCCAAATAGGGCATTCTTTAAATAGAAAATTATCTTGCCCCTTCTGTGTCTCTTGGCTTCTGCTGTGGATCTTATTCTTTAACACGACTCAGCACATCTGCTACCTTATGTAAAGTACTAAGAAAGATCATCCATCTACGCTGTCCCCAGAGGGGCAGCTAAGGCTATTCGCCTACCCTCCTAAGTACCAGTCGGGCTCTTTGGGGAGGGGATAGAAAAGGCCTCATCAATAGTGTGTAAAGTTAATAATGCTACTATGCAGGCAAGTGGTAGGGAGAACCCACTAAGATCTCTATTCCAGGAATAATACCTCGTGTGCTGAGTGGGACCAGAAAACGAAGGGAGCTGTACTCGACTCCGCCAAACATCAAGCCGATTGGATGCCTTTTGATCTACTAATGAATAGCAGATAGATGGAAGACCATTATATGTAGGTCGTGTGGTGGTTGTTGGTTCTGCAGCATAACTACTGTGTGCTGGCAGCTAAGTAGGTATGGCATACATTCTCTTGAGTGCAGGACAGGCCCCGCTGGCAATCCAGCCAGTTCATCCCGCCATTACTCGCGGACATATCTAATGCAACAATCATTACAGATAGCAACAGTATAGCAAGCCTGGTTCAGAGAGAATTGTCACCATGTTTCCCCACTAGTCCGGAGGAGTGACCTACCTTTAGTGGTAACTCCTAGGTAAGGAGTAGGCTGTAATTAATATCGGCTAGGGCATTACAGGCCTGTTTTGGGTTGGATGTCGTGCGGAACTTCTCCTTTTTAGCAGACTGGAGGCTTGCATTCAACTTGACCTCGAAGGATTGCCACCACCGATCCCCAGTCCACCGGTGGCAGATTCGTTCGCTCTCTTACTTACCTATTACCGAGCAGCAAGATTACCACCCCGTTCCCGTTGATTGATTACCCAATCGAGTGTGCGACATCTTGTGCTCCTACTTTTCTGCGCCTACCTACCCTCTTCCCTCTCTACAACATCTCTTCACCTGCGACTCGGTTCCCGGTGATCAGGGTTGTCGCTCAATGCTCGTAGGCGGTAGAACTGAAACATGACCCCTTGAATCGCCTCCAATCCTGTCTAAGCAAACCCGAGAGCACCGCCCGGGCGAACGTGACGATCGTGCCCGCCCGAAACGAATCCTGTCCCCGGCCGCTCGCTGCGTGCGATCGGCCCCCCTTGAGAGGTCGACTGTCCTACGCTCAAGCTGTCGTGATTGCCAGGAAGCGCGACGCACCGGCCGACCATCATGGCCTCAGTATTGAGCAAGCGCCAGCAGCAGCGCAATGAAAAGGTGCTGCACGACTTGGTTCAGACTGTCCCGGGAAACAATAGTTGCGCCGACTGCCATGCGCGCAACCCAGGTAAGCCCAACCCGGCATGCATACACTGGCTCGCATCATCATACTGATCGTGGAATCCATAGCTTGGGCATCATGGAGCGTGAGTCCTCCCCTCCCAATCGCCGATATCGAAACCGACGGCCGCCAGTCCAGCCCCGATGTGCGACATCAATCATGCTTGAACCAGAGCTGACATTTACATAGCTTGGAGTGTTTCTGTGCATGAGATGTGCGTCGATCCATCGAAAGTTGGGCACGCATGTCTCCAAGGTTAAATCCTTGAGCATGGACAGCTGGACCAACGAGCAAGTCGATGTAAGAATAATGTTTGCCCTTGGATAAGAAAGTTCGTTGTTCTAACGGCCAGGCGGATAGAACATGCGAAAAGTAGGCAATGTCGTATCGAACCAGATTTATAACCCAGACAACAAGAGACCGCCCGTTCCAGTCGACGCAGACGAGGCGGATGGTGCAATGGAGCGCTTCATTCGACAAAAGTATATGAACAACGTCGTCACCACGAGGGATGCAGGGCCTAGGAGTCCTCGCATTGACGAAGGGGTCCCTCCCCCTTTGCCGCCCAAGAACTCGTCCTCAAAGTTTGGTCTGCGGTCCGCCTCCTCACTCTTCCCGCTCTCTCGGTCAAAGAAAGACAAGGCTCTGCCCAGCCCTGAAATCCAACACCGACCTTCATCCCATGACTCGGTCCACAAACCCGCCAAAGTCTTTGGCGCCGCTTTGAACTTTGACGATGGGGATGAACTGGAAAGGAAATTGGCAAAGCTGCGCGATATGGGGTTCAATGATACGCAACGAAATCTCAGGGCCCTTAAGGCCGTCGACGGCAACGTCGATCAGGCTATCGAGCTACTGGTTCAACGAAACGAAGCCGACAGACGATCGCCCGCTCCCCAAGCTAATCCTCGGGCCAACACTCTCCGAACCTCCAAATCATTGACGCCTCTTAATTCTGGTGGTATTGGACTCAGCCTGGGGCCGAAAACCACACAAGATCAACCAGCGACACCTTCGAGCACATCTACGAATCCATTCGATGCGCTAGCAGCTCAACCGCAAACGGCACAGTCTACGGGCGCTTTGAGCAACAACAACAAAAACCCATATAATAGTAATGCGGCCACAAACAACCCATTCGGACCCGTGAGACAACAGACTGATCCGCTCAGTCAAGCTTTCGAGAAGCTGGATGTGTCGTCGGCTCCTGCTCAGCAACAGCTTTTCCCTAACCGTACAGGCGGTCTTACGCCAATGACGCAAAGTCGACCTCCTCTTCCCTCCCCTCCGGTTCCTTCAGCGCCAACCACACCGCAGTTCTTCCAGCAAATGCAATTCCAGAACATGGCATACCCTCAGTCGGCACCTCTTCCACAACAACCCACAGGGACAAACCCCTTTTTCGCCAATCAAAGTAGCCCGGTGCAGCAGCAACCACCTCAACAGTTCTCGCAGTTACCTCAGCAGTTCCCGCAACAGCTTGCCCAGCAGAATCTAGCTGTCAATACGCAACAATCGCAGTACGGATTTGCAAATAACCCGTTCGCACGATCACCTACTAGGGTAGCATCGCCACCGATTCTCGGACAAATCCCAGAACAGTCGCAATCTTCGTTCCAGAACAATATTCCCTTGCAGAGTCCTTCTTTCCAGAGTCCCTCGTTCCAGAACCCTTCTTTCCAGAACCAATCGTTCCAGGGTGGTGCCCCGGCCCTTCAGAGTGCCTCAACCTTCCCAGCCGCCACAGGTGTGAACAATCCATTCTTACAGAGTTCTCCTCAGCCTCAAGCCTATGCCGGGCAATTGACCAGCCCCCAACAACAATATTTCCAACCCACGCGACCTGACAAATCATCGATTATGGCGTTATACAATTCGGCACCCACAATTCCTCAGGTCAACAACGCTGTCCAGCCAGTACAAGCCTCTCCTATGTCCCCTAACTTTGGTGTGGCTGCACAGCCAGCCCAGTCCGCCCCGATATCGGCTCAGCCGTTCCGAAGCATGACATTACCTCCTGAAAACACAAACAACCCATTTGCAAACGGTGGCGTTGGTGGTGTGAATGGTGTTGTGAAACCAAATGACCCGGATCCTTTCAACACAGCGAGGCACATTAGCAGGGAGAGCGTGAACTTGGGCCTGGACATGGCTTGGACTAATGGTCGGCACAGCCCAGACGCATTTGCAAGCCTAAGTGCGAAGCACATATGATGAAACAATGATTAACCAATCTATATATATATGTATGTATGTATGTACGCATGCGTTGGGAAAAGTACATAGTAAGGTATTGCGGTTTTTGTATGATAATTCATGGAATGAGGGCTGATGTTGGATCATGAAATAATACTGACAAGTGCATTGTCTCTTTTTTTTGTCATGTCCTGGTTTTCGTCCTCTCGGGCTGGAGTTCGCAACACCTCCTCGAGTCTGCAATCGGAGCTCCGTCCATTCACATATATGTATGTCGTCATGGGCCGTTCACCCATTGGAAATTTCCATGTGAAATTCTGGCCCAGGCCTAATGCCTCCAGGATGAGTTCAGCTCATGTTGTAGCGACTTGTGCGAGACAAAATTTGTTAACCAACCCGTGTTTCAGCCCCTCCGGAACTTTTAAGGCCTGGCTTGATAAACGCGTAGCTTGGTGCTCGATGCCTCAAGACCGCAGAGTACAGATACTGCCCGTATCAACCTCTGAACTTGGGCCTCCGCCGAGCAGTGGATTGGTGCGTGTATGAGACTCGATTGCGTCAATGTGCATCTGGCTTATGGTGGGCCTGCCATTCTCCAGCTTCATCCCGCGCCACGAAATGCACTGATCAGCTACCTCCAACATAATCATTGCTTCTAGACTGCTTTTCCGGTCAAGTGTGTGACATTGAATTGAGACACTTGAACATGAAGTTGCTTGTTCTCGAATCTGCGGCCGGTATTGTCAGATTATCAAGTGCTAATAGTGCATACTTAAGAGACATGGTTATATTATTCTGTTACTACTGAATCTCTCTATTTCTCGTAGAAAGTATTCTGTTAATCACTACTGTTCCATTGGATGTCCCATTTCTCATGTCATCCACTTGCCAGTCTAATGGTGGGCAGCTGGGTGGCGAACAATAACAAGGTTTTACACGATATACATGTGCATACGTGAACCCATGCCGTGTGGATCACAGGCGGGATCTGGAACAGATATGCAGTTATTACCCGAACTGCGAATTAGATTGATGGTCTGCCATTGGCATCATAACCAAGGGTTCTAGGTCTCTATGGACTTGAACATGAGCTTATCTGTCTTGGATACGCGTAAGAGGTTAGGCTCATCACTCACGGAGACCTATCTCTAGGATATTTCGACCGACGGCTGCAGTTTTCAGTTGTCAGACTTGGGGCGAAATTTTGCGGTACGGAGCGGTCAAAGAGCGTAGGTAGGATATGCATCCGATACCTAATTGTCTCGGCATAACAGAATTAGGCAGCTTGGCAGCACGACTAAAGTTCCTGGCAAGAGAAGTCAAAGCTACCCATGACCCTAGTCAGCTGTAGATGAGTTGATCTAGTGAGCACGATGACTGTTGTATGACTTGAAGTTAGTCCTTCGTTAGGTTTTAAATTACTGCTCTACTTCCGATTGACATATCTAAAAAAAAACTCGGCCCAACCAGAGGCAACTCAATATCTATGATGGGTGTCAGTATAGTCGGGCAGATCCTACTCTTTTCTGGATTCTAGGTGCAGTTTTGATCGGCACGGGAGTTAGCCTTTTGCGTAGCTACACCAAAACCCTCGGCTCCGACGGTGGGAACATGCTTCCCCACTGGCTACCAATGTCGATCCGGGGTGGGCGACACGTAATGCCTAATGCACGTTGCCGTTGCTATGCAACAACTTTGGTAAGGTATATTTCTTCGGTACTTAAAAACGATCAAATTCATAAACCCAACGCTATACGTATGCTATGTGGTCTGGTGGCTGATTCTGTCACATGAAGGGAAATAAGTCCAACAATTGGTAGCTTCGTGGTGGCAAAACAATGTATACGAAATTGATAATGAAAGCAATAGTGCCAGGCGGGTGAGACACCTGGTACAGGGGTATGATGAACAGAAGGAAGGGACGAGTCAACGATGTGACTGAGTCAATTGCCTTTTTGTCGTAGGACACATAAGCCTATATTGGATTCTAGATGTTTAATTAGGTAGGTTTAATAGTTTTCACAACACCGAGGTTATTAGCCAGCCAGAAAAAGATGGAATGCCGTGCAGCCACCAATAAGACCAGACCGGAAGAATCAGAATCACCATGTTACATACATCCGAGTGTAAGACATTCATTTTATGGTTGTATGTGTGGCGAACGAGACAAACAACGCCGGCTTTAGGGTAGCGATGTTAGGTAATAGAACGAAGGATCAGGTTTCCATTGGATTAGCAGTGGGGGCTTGGTGGCTACCATCGGCATACATATTGGTAGCAACAAATTGTGCTCAGCGCCTGTTGGTACTGAATTCGAAAGCAATTAATCACATCATATCGAATGACTATCACTCACTGTATCCCGCTCTGTATTATATGATGCGAGCTTGGTGGAGAAGGGTCTGAATGGGGCCTCGGCCCTTAGCAAAGAATAAGTTCATGCAGTGGCCGAATCAGCTCGGTGTGTGCGAGCCTAGATAAACTTGATTGGTAGACCCCCATCAGACCCACCCATCCGCTACGATACTCCACAGGTAGCGGCCCAACGAACGAACTGGCATTATTAGTGGAGGGACCAAATTCCGGTCAGTCATTCTGACTCTTCTCCTCCATTCCCTTGACCTCGTTCCACCGGCTGTCAATCTGAATCACTCCAAACAAGCACACTCAAGCAATCCAACTATTTAAAAGGAATCTCAATTCTGCCCAGAAAAACAACATCACTACAAGTCAACAACCGACTCTGACGGACATCAACAAAAAATTTCTACTCCTTACCGCCGCTCCACACCCTTGCTCCCGAACTCGAATAACCAACCTACGAGATCAAACCCGGACGAATCGAATCGAAATGGCGCCAATCAACAAACAAAAGAGTAATTTAAGTAGTAATTACGGCGAGGACATTGTCCAGCGTGTTAATGTCCTTGCCTCCTGCTACATCGCCGACTCTACTTCCGGCCTCAAGGGCATCCATTACTGCACTACCGGCGCCACAGGTATGCCATCCAAGCCGTCGATTGAGCTCCTCTGCCAATCGTCACCCCCCAAGCAAAAGCCTCATGCTGACGTTTCCATAGGGGCCGAGTGGTATTCCTGAGGTCCCTTCCTCAGGACTACCCTCCCCACCAACAAGCCCCCCCCTCGCCGCACTAACCTCGTCAAACGAGCTCGCTCTCCTCCCCAAGCGGAAGAGCGAGATCCCAGGTCGTCGCCTGGGGCGGCGAGGGGGGGCAGCACTCTCGATCAGGGAAGAATGTGAGAGATTCTTCTGTGGGTCCATGAAGACGGTTTTCCTTGGTGAGAGGAGTCCGTCGACGAATGGTCCCAGCCGGTCAGGTGCTTTTTTACCGACACCGCCGCCAGACAACCAGTTCCCGGACCCCTACCGCCGCGGAAGCGAGGTGGACATCAAGCGTTCCGGCTTCGAGGCCGAATCGTGGATGGAGGTCTGGGACTACGCGGGCGGCGCGAGCTTCCGTGCCTTTGTTGCCAACAACGGCCGGGAGAGATCGCTCTTTGTCTTCTTTGACGTACAGGGCATGCTGGGGAGAGACTTGAAGAAGGCGTAAGTTGCCCATCACGATTGTAGTTATCCCAACATTCACTAACGCTCCTGTCATAGTCTCATGGCGCTCATCGAGCTCAGCGATGGTCCGCTGGACTGCTCTCACATCGTCACATGCATTGATCGCCGCATGTCCGCTGGAGATGCAATTGAGTTGACAAAGAGCCTCCAATGGGTTGGGTTCGAAATGACCACCCTGGACCATTGGGCTGATGACCTGGACGTGACCAGCGACAAGTGGCTGTTCATGGGCATGGAGGTCTAGCCTAGTACAACTGATTTCGGGGAAGGAAGGAAGGATTTCGTTTTTCATTTTGTTCTTGTGATTGAATTCGTTTTCTAATTTGTTTTCCTGATTGAATCTCTTTCTTTAGTATTGCCAGGATAGTTAGTTCTTGTTCTTCTTTTTGCCACAACCCAACACACAGCAGATGATCGATCAGCAGTTTGGAGTACGGTGACAGCGGGCGTCAGATCATCAATTCTTTGATACCGATTATTCAACAGAGAAGTTATTACGATAGGCTCTTTTCACGATAGGCTTCTTTTTACCAAAGTTAGCAACTAAATTGAATCTTTTATTTCAAAGCTACGCTCATCAATTTCTTCTCTATCTTTTTAACCCCCTTTTTGTCTATTAGATTAATCATGAGTCCAGGCCTTCACCAGCCTGCCGCGCTTCCAACCCCTTGCTTTGCAAATAATCCTTGACCTGCTGGACAGTGTACTCGCCTCTGTGGAACATGCCCGCGCCCAGGGCGGCATCAGTCCGGGTCTTCTGGAACACCTCCTCGAAGTGGCCGGGGTTTCCAGCTCCGCTTGACGCAATGACGGGAATGGCGATCGCGCCCTTGACCTGCTCGATGAGCTCGAGGTCGAAACCGCTGTTGGTGCCGTCCTTGTCGATGCAATTGAGCAGGATCTCCCCGGCGCCCATGGCCTCGACGGCCTGAACGAGCTCGACGACATCCATGTCGCGGGTCTCGCGGCCGCCCTTGATCGTGCAGGCGTACCAGCAGTAGGGCTCACCCTTGGGGCCCGGGAACTTGGTCTCGACGACGGCGTGGCGGGTGGCGTCGAGGTTGGGGACGTAGACCCGCTTGGGGTCGACGCTGACCACGACGGCCTGGTTCCCGTAGGCCTTGGAGATCTGCTCGATGGCGGTGTTGCCGAAGAGCTTCTTGCCCAGGGAGTAGTACTCCTCGGCGGCGAGGACGGCATCGGAGCCGATCGAGACCTTGTCAGCGCCGGATTTGAAGTACATGGTGGCGATCTCCAGCGCAGTGACCTTGGTGCCGTCGGTGTCTACAGTATCACGGATGCCTCCGCCAATGGTCAGGGGCACGAAGACAGTGCGGGAGGTCTGGCGCAATATTTCGAGCATGGGAAGGTCGGCTATGGGGCAATCGCGGAAGGATGTGATGTTCAAGAAGGTCACCTCGTCGGCGCCCTCCTCGTAGTAGCGCTTGGCCATCTCAACGGGTTTGCCAAGGTTGCGCACGTTTCGATCGTCGCCCTTCTCCCGCACGTCGTACTGGTCCCCCTTCGTAACAACCAGGTCGCCCTGGTCGTTTGTTCGCACATCTAGACAGGCGATCACACGGCGGGTCAGGCCGTCCTTGAAGGGTACATCTGCCAAGGGTTGAGGATTTGATGGGAGAGACTTTGCTCCCTCTCCTGTGAGAAAGGCGCGGAGTGTCCGTAGACCTGCAACACCAGACTTCTCAGGGTGGAATTGGGTCGCATAGATGTTTCCCTTGGCTACGGCGCCGACGAACGTCTCGTTTCCATATGTACCTGTGGCTACGGACCAGCCCTGTGACTCGAGCTCACCGGGTGTGTATGCTCCTCGAAACGAATGGACGTAGTAGTATTTGGAATCTGGGCTCAGGCCGTACAACGGCTTGCCGCCGGTATTGGCGCTGTTCCATCCAATGTGGGGGACCGACTTGTCGGTCTCGTCGAAGCGACCAAGAGTTGAGTGGACGACGCCCAAGCCTGGTACATCTGGATCCTCGACGGACCCTTCGAAGAGGGCTTGCAGACCAACGCAAATGCCCATGAACGGCTTGCCGGAATCGATATGGGCCTTGATAGCTGGTAGGTAATTGGCTTGCGCGAGCTGCGACATGCAGTGACCGAAGTGGCCGACACCGGGAAGGATGAGTTTCTGCTCAATGGTTAGATTCGCTGCGTAGTTGGAGATAGACAGGGTACGGGCACACATCTGCTTTGGCGACATCTTCTGGCGATCTGACCCAATCGACCTCGTAGCCTAGCTTTTCAATGGCGTTGACCAAACTTCTAATGTTGCCGGCAACATAGTCTAACAGGTGGACGGTGGGCATTTTGCCCACTGGATATATTTGTCTGAGGAACAGGTGGGGTGAAGGAGACGGCTGGTCTGGATGTTGGATTATAAGGTAGCTATTCGTCAGATATACCGGGTCGAATAAAAGGGAGGGTATAGCAGGAGCACCTGGCCGGGAAAGATCGTCGGATGTTTTAAGTGAGAAAAAAAGCCAGCTGCGTCGGCCAAAGTGTAATTGGAGTCACAGGAGCGACTCATAGGCACGACGAATGGGTCTGCGATAGACCGATAGCGGGGCAATGCTTGGAGCAAAACCAGCATCATCTTGCTACCCCTCCATCTCCTGACAAAATGGACGATAGAAAGCATATTGATGGTCAAGGAATATTACCACAGACAGTGCCAAACTACAGATATAAAAGAACACTTACAAAGTTTGTGCATGATACTAGAAAGTTATTTAGCTATTATTGTGACCAGCATTGTCAACTCAAGGATGCCAAGCGTAATATCGATAGCAAAATACTGAGCGAGCAGTGCTTGACTTTTTATGTCACACAACTTATCTGGGCATTGTTGCGATAAGCCGTCGCAGGCTTCCTGAAGAGGCAAAGACCTCTTTTCTTCCTCCAACCTACCGCGGTTCATTCCAACCATTTTGAGTCCAATGTTGGGCCTTCAGATCCTCCTAATGGTCAATCATAAGACAAATTCGATGAGGAAGCGACGCTACTTTTCGTGAAGGAGGAGTTTTTTTCAGCTCCCACCGCAAACATGTCGCAAGCCTCGGGCTCAATGTCGCAGACCGGCGACGCCTCACCTGCACAACAACCGACAGCTCCGAGTCTGGAACCCGAAGCTGCGACCGAGGAAATAGTCACCGAGGAAGATGAATGGGAATACGAGTATTCGGCGACGGAAACAGAGGTGGGATTGACATGGCACATGTTTAAAATTTGTTCAATCGGCTCACAACGAAGCTAGACGTACTACTTGACTGTCGAGCTCTCCTACCCCGAATTCAAAGGCCAGGCCGCCAAAAGCCCTCACCACAGTCGCGGCGGTTATTATAAACATTGGCTTGGGAGGAAGCAATCGTACATCGAGACTTCGGCTGGCTCCGAGTTCGGCGGCGATGCTCTCGACCGGGATAAGAACAAGAGCAGCAACATCGATAATAACGATAATGAAGATAACGCACCCGACCAGCCTGCCCCGCCACAAGCCGACGTGGCTCGGGACACAAACCCTGGACAGACGGCGGAAGATGCGACTGCGGCTGGGGATGACAGTTTAGATATTGACCCAGCCCTCTTCGCTCCACATAGGGACTTACGACCTGGGCGGGACGACAACGGGCCTGGAAACAATGGAGAGGGTGATAATATAGAAGGCCCTAGAGCGGATATCCAAGCTAGGGAGGAAGCAGAGAATGGGGAGGACGAAGAAGACCAGCTCATGGCAGGTGACGAGGCACTCGAGGATATCCAGATTCTCGACCTGCACTCCGACCACCCTGTGATTTCCTACCGGGGCCGAGTCTTCGAAGGCCAATGGGCAGAGGTTATTGGGACAGAAGCTATATTCGCCCGCCGCAACCCCAACGCGAAGCCGCCGCTGCCCGCCCTTCGGAACCTACCGGAGAATGTCGACTTTCTGGCGGCGAGCGCTTCGCGAATACTCACCAAGGAGAAAATCATGAAGCCTAGAAAGCCTATTGAAGATTCACTCGCGGCCATACGAAAAGAATGGAACATCAAAATCCCACGCGGCAGGCACAAGAATGGAGAGAAGATGAAGCAGGTCCACTTCCTCGAAAGGTTGATTGCGCTCAAGATGAAGAAGGGCGAGACGGACAAGGTCACGGTTTTTGCAAAGGATGGCGCGGGCAAGGATTTCAGGGACGACCGAGATCCTGAGTTTCGCCCGAGGAGGAAAAGGGCTCAGAGGATACGGGCCGGCTCAGAGAGCGGCGAGGAGACTGGAAACAAGAGGAAGCGGTCGGGCAGACCTCGTGGGAGACCCAGAACCAGGGTCGGCAGCGAGCCTAGGGGTCTTCTACATCGAGATATCGAGGCCGGTGGGCTCTCTCAACCGACACCAAGCCGCTGGGAGGATTTGGAAAGTGGTGAGGATGTGGTGGATGAGGACGAGGAGGAAATTGGGGATGCCGATTCGAGCGACTATGACATGTCTGAAGGTAGCCGCAGAAGTGACGGGAGCAACCAGAGTGACACACACGATGAGGATAATAGTGATGGTGCTGGTGATGCAGACCCAGCAGCCGATTACGAGGACATCACTATGGCAGAGTAACACTAATAGAGGACCTTGATCCGACCTGACCTTGACCAGCTGATCAATCGTAGCGCAGGAGGCGCTGAAATGCTAAATGGCGATAAAGGCGCATATTTCGCAGACCGGTTCATGCCTCAGAGGTGGCCTCGTGGATGGCAGTCTTGTTCCAGTACGTCGGCGCGGATCACCCACGAGGGATGATCGATTCCAGCTGTTGGGCACTCTCAGGGTCCTGTGATCAACTTGGAGGTTGCATCAGGGGCGGGAGCATGCACGAGAGATCCCAACCACCCTTGGCATCCAAGATCACACCTCAAAACAGCAAGCATCGGAAAGTATCAAGTTTGAGGAAAAAAAGAAATGACCATGGGCTCCTCGGATTGTTTGGGATGCCTGCATTGGCTGGCTGGAAGCGGATGCATGCCACGGCATGCATGTAGGGGGATATGGAAAGCCATTGGTGGGACGGGCGACTGACCCAGGAGCTGGTTCGGCACATTCTCCTGTCAATGGGGAAGTGTTTGCCCATGTGGCGGCCTGGCTGGCAGTGGTAGGCCGCATCCAGCAGTTACGCTGCATTTGAAGCGGCTCTTGCGTGTTGCAGCTCGGCAGCTTGCGCAGGCCAAGTGGAGAATGGGTGCGAGGGCTGGAGAATTAGGTTCTTGGCTCGCCGCTTGGCTCGCCGCTGTCGGTGAAGGCCCCAGAAGGTTGGACCGCGCAGGAAGATATCAGCATCTCAAACCAATGGTGAGATCCTTCTGTTTGAGGACATGATTTCTCGTGTCAGTGCTGGCTGAAATGGATCTGTTCAGCCAATGTTTCACCCATGTATGCATCCAACGCTTGCTTAGTAGGTACTTAGGTAGATACTATTAGTCGTGGTTGGGCCACAGCCATGCAAACTTCCAGCCCGTCAGCTTGTCCCAACCAACCTCCACACAACCACTATATTGGGTGCCATGTACATACAGTACCTACATGCACCGCCATCCATTACCGGGCTCCTGCATGATGGCATTTACCTACCTGGCCATTGCCCGAAGCTGACACAGCGATCCCCCTTTATTTGTCTTTATCTTGTTGGTCAGCATATGGCATTGGTTTCTATTCTGAACTCGATGGAGGCCTCATTCAGGGGCGATGGCTTGCACTCGGTAGATGTAGCCTGCTTCTAGACAGCGCCATTGATGGGGATAATGAGGGAAAATCCCGCGGAAGGCTGCATAGCCAGCGACGGCGGAAGTTTGTCTGCGCGTACACGGTAAGCAGGCCGCCAGGTACCTGCTGGTGCTGAGTCAATCTCAGCGTCGCGTGAAGGCTAGCGAGGGACGGATCTCCATAGATGCTGATCAGGGCCGAGAATAATTCAGTGGGCGGCAGGTCCGTGCTATACGCGTCCAGTGGGCGCTAGGTCCTAGCTGAAGCGCTGGCACAGCATAGGTACAACCTATACTTAGCGGGCAGGTAGCGCTATGGCAGACGCAGTGCTAGACCCCCGGGGCAGTACTTGGGGCCAGGCTAAGAAAGGTAGCCCCCATGTCGCTCTGGATCGACCGCCCTGGAACGAGCGAGTCGCGCATGTGCATCCACCCACGAGATGCTGGTTGCACCTCAAGTCGGGAGGAGGCGCCTCAGTGTCGCACAATGCCTGCCCCAACAAGCGACTAGTCCTTGATCGACCCGTTCTCGCGATGCCTCGCCCTGACCGACTCAGGCTCGACGTCTGCCAGGCCCTCTCACTCCTGGCCGTGTGCCGTATTCGCTCTTCTTAAACCGTTGATGCCCCTCCTCCATCTCCAACGCCTTGCCCTCCCCTCTTCCGCTCATCGGCAGCAACCCCGAGCATTAGTACCGTTTCCGGGTCTTGCAGCCTGAGTGCCTACGAATATCGCATACCTCACATTGATACCTCCCCCCTCGACCCTTGGTTCGCAACAGCCCTCGATGCCCTCATAGGTACTGGCATTTGCTTGTCCCTGGACCCCTACCGACTGCTATATATTTATCCCCCACCTAAGCCTCACCGCCCCGCCTCCAATCGGGAAGCTGTCAACAACCGTCAAACGCCGGACTCAGCCTTTTCCGAATACGCTTCTGCCTGCCGGGGCCGCGCACGCGACATCTCACAGGCGGCTCGTGGGGTTTCTTTTAAGACGCCGCACCGCCAATTCACGCCTTTTGCCCTGCCAAGTATTCTTCTATCTATTTCGCTTCTTTATTCGGTCTCCCCCAGCTTGCTTGGTCAAGCCCGGGCAGTCGAACACCAAAAATGTACTGGGTACGACGTTCTGCGATCCTCTTGGTCGTCCTCCTGTGCCTGTCCTTCGTAGCCTGGTCAGTGCCTCGCATCCTCGACCCGACGAGCAAGGACGCCGAGAAGCGTGCCAAGGACCAGCGATGGGTTGCTAGCAGTCCATACTTTCTGGATCGTCAATTATGTCGATGGATCAGCTTGTGTGGCATTCACCATATCCGCAAAGACCCGGCGTCTCACGGATACGACTGGGAAGATGACCTGGACGACGATGAATATGATGATGACCTGAGTGGTGAGTTGAGGAGAGTTCGCGCCTGGGACGAGGACGTTGTGGCGCCAAGCGGGAAGAGAGACGTCCTCCAGCGCAGGCGGGTTCTCAAGGAAGTCCCCGACTATGTCTATCGATATGCGCCGCTCGTTCACCTGTACTCGGGCGAGGAGTTCTGGCCCTCGGATATCAGGGAACACCTCGAGCACATGACAGTCTATCAGGATAGCACTGTACACAACTCTACGGAGTGGTCGCTGCATAACCTTGGCCAGCTAAACAAGCTCAACGGCATGGTTACTATGCACAGCAACGACGATGTGGAGAGCCGACCACCTTGGCTTCACAGCCATAACAATATCCCCCAGCCATTTGAGGATGATCCCGATGCTGGAGGCTCACCACCCGCGCGCCGCCCCTACAAGGAGGACCTCCCCAATCGGGAGCACTCGACCTGGTATGATACCAACAAGGATCACCCAGTCCACCGTCTTTCCGACCCCAGGAAGTACGGCTCGAGCTTTGACCGTTCGCGGCGAAACCGGTACTTGACGAAAAATCCGCTCGAGGAACGGGGCCACAAGCCCGACTCCGACGGGTATTCCCGAGCCCCAGCTGTTCTGGTTCTCGTCGATAAGGGAGAGGGTGTTGTCGACGCCTTCTGGTTCTTCTTCTACTCCTACAACCTTGGCCAGACGGTATTCGGCATGCGCTTCGGAAACCACGTCGGTGACTGGGAGCACTTCATGATCCGTTTCCAAGACGGCAAGCCTCGCGGCGTCTTCCTGTCGGAGCACGAAGCCGGCCAGTCCTATGTGTGGGATGCTCTTGAGAAGTCATCCACCGGCCGCCCGATCATCTACTCAGCCGTTGGATCCCACGCCATGTACCCTCAGGCTGGTGATCACCCATACGTCCTCCCCTTCAAGCTCCTCAAGGACGTCACAGACAAGGGCCCGCTCTGGGACCCCGGCCTGAACAACTACGCCTACCACTACGACTACACCCTCGAGAAGGAAGTCGAGGAGTCCTCCTCCGCGAAGCGACGCCCTAGCCTTGTTGCTGCTGCCAACAACCCGCAGGCCCCTACCTCCTGGTTCCACTACACCGGCCGCTGGGGCGACGAAGTGTACGCCCTCTCCGACCTGCGCCAGTGGCGCCTCTTCGGCCAATACCACTACACCACAGGACCCACCGGACCCAAGTTCAAATCCCTCGACCGCAAGCAGCTGTGTAAGAAGGACAAGTGCTTGGTCGGCTATGAGCTCGATCCCAAGAGGTCTTGGCGAGACTAGAAGAATATACCTATGACTCGTCATACGCTCCCTACTACACACCACATCAAACAAAAACACATATTTGTTCATATTGGACAGCCCTGAAGCATTATAGAGGTCACAATAGACTTGGCTTTACAAGGAGCCTGGGAATGGCTCAATGGGAGCGGAGCAACCGGATATGCGCATCGGAGCATACCAGATGGCCTCGTCTTTTAATAGACGGCCCATCAGGCGTTATTACCCACACGGTATTTGCATTTTTAAGACTGCATGGATTCTTGATACCCCGTTTTTTCTTTTTTTCTTTTTAACGATAGAAAGACTTGCTTGTTTCTCTGGGAAGATACAGGATATCTTTCATCAGCGTAGATATTTATAAATGAGAGGAACATGAATATAAAATTGTTATCAAACACAATGGGAGAGTTTGTCTTTCTAGTAAGCCCTCGCGACCAAGTTGAGATACATGTGTGTATATTGTAAAACAAGATTTCCAGCCATGTCCAAATGTCAAAGAGACAGCGCCGCCACCAAGATCCCGAATTCCACCTCGTTCCTCAAAGGGATCAGGTGGACACGAAACCAAACTCCACGAAACACCAACCCGGCCCAAAACGCCAAGCATACGCTAGTTACATTAATGAAAGTCTCGCTAAATACTCAGGCCCAGGATAAAATTATAGGAAGAGGAATATATAAAGAAAAATAAACAAGGCTCTCGCTCAACGGTCGAGAAGGGAAAAAGGAAAAACCCCAATTGAAGAGAGTTGAGAGAACGCTAGGCTTTGTATGACAAATGTGTGTACACCGAGGATTGATTAGTATCATCCTCTTTCTCAATCATTATCTTCATGAATCTGAAACTCGTCACCATTATTTGGCCATGCATTATGCGTGCTGGGATACTCAGAGGGCTGACTGCTGCAGTCGCTGCACATGTCGATATCTCTAGGATCAACATTTTCTTCGTCTGAGAGTTGGTCTTGGTCCTCGATCCCTGGCCAAGGCTCATCCTCAGGCAACTGTCGATTCTGTGCTTCAGGACCAGTATGTGATTCGACACGGGCGGTAACCTGTACAGTGCCCGTGCTCTCATCATCTTCGAAGTCCTCATCCGAAGGACTCTCGTATATTTCGATCTCGTAAAGTTCATCGAAAGCATCAATTTCATCAAATCCCCGAGCCCCCATTGAAGGCGAGGCGATGCCACCTGAGAGGATCTGAGCATCCTGAAGGGGAGCATTGCTGTGAGGCGTAGCATATGTGAACGGGGTATGGCCTCTGGCAGAGGGACCCGCCGGCATGGGGCTGGGGGAAGCTGTCCATCTTGGAGTGAAGAGGTGGTTTGGTGATCTTGTTCGGCGTCTTTTGAGAATAGCATGCTGTGAGACGCCCTTGACAGATGGCGATCCCCGACGACTTCCCCCGCCAGACATGACACGACGCCTACCAGCTGCAGGTAATTCCTGCTCTGATTCAACAACAGGCAGTGATGTAGTGCGGACGTGTAATGGGCGAGAGCTGTGTCGACTCCGCGATATATATGCAGGCACACCTGATGCAATAACAGCCGGACTTGGTGACCGCAGGTGGCTAACAGCAGGATGATATTGAGATATGGATGAAGATGAGGATGTATGTGGGGTATGCTTGAGATGTCGCATGCTCAGTGATACAGGGGCGTTTGGCGGGTCGTCCAGTCGCTCGTTCCAGGCCCAATACTCTTCCATGGCATCAGCCTCAGGAACTCCCTGGGAATCGCTTTCAGAGTACACCCGACTCAATTCGCGAACCCTCTGCCACGTCCACCCAGTTTCATACGAGTTCAAGTCCTGAAGGTATGCGTCGGGATGGGTGACAAACAGTCTAGGTTCAGACGACCGCATCATGACAGTTGTCAAGAACTGCACAGTCCAGATAGCAGGTGTAAGCATCTCTGCCGGGCTAAGGAAGCGAAGGCACGAATCTTTGTGGAGTTTGCGAAGTGGTACCCATGAGGAGTGAAGGCCAAGAAATTTGGACGTGCGAGGGTTTGCTGAGTTGGCTTGGGTCCGAATGTGCATTTCCTGCCATACACTGCTAAACGCTTGATGCATAGCGGCGTCCACGCTCCTGGCATCGGGACCATGCACAGACAATTTCTTGATGAGACCTCGACTGCGTAGCCTTTTGTCCGTAACGCTCTTATCACCACAAGCTTTTGGGAAGAGCCATTGTGCCTCGTGCATCGAGTTGGCCCAATCTTGGTAGAGTGGAGACATGGATGTGACGTTCTCAGAGCTGTACGTCATAGGGAGCTGTGATCGTTCAGCACCACGAGCTGCTGATTCATCTTGCCACACTTTCTTGAGGGGAAATGGGAGGTATACAACCTCAATCTCCCAGGCATGATTGGGAGAGGGCAATGCGGATTGCAAAGAATCCACCCGTGCCTGCAAAGTCTGTAGTTGGCTGTAAAGTTCCTGCGAGTGACTTGGCCGATTTGTTGCTTCCGTTGAAAATGATGCAACGCTTTGTGTGGCTGAATCGTCCGTCTTGTCGGCTTGTCGGGATGCCGCAGCCGCATATTCCGCAGCCTGCTTCTCAGCTTCCTCCATCCTGCTCTCTAGGTCGGTTACTCGAAGGTCCATCTGGTCATGCCTCTCGTGGCATTCATCATTGCCAGCAGAGAATGATACATTCTCAAGCCTCTCAAGACGCTGCTCATTTGCAACGACTGCATCCGATAAGTTTTTGAACTCTTGACGCGTCGTTTCTCCAAAGACAGAGGCCCTGGGCTCATGCTGCGTGGTCTCCTGGGATGCTCCGGCGCGGTCCTTAATCGCTGGTACTAGTACAAAGGAGTCCTCTACGATTGGCGCACTATTGGAATGGGTGGGTGGGTGAGGATCAGCAGTTGGTGGTAAGGGTGGCGGGCACTTGGTTTCCTGGGCACTGCCCAATGTGTTAAGTCCTTTCCCAGCAAATGGCTTGAGGTACCTTGCCCGGATGGAAGAAGTGGTGGAGCTGGCCTGGGATGGGATCAGAAACTGGGAGGGGCTGGCGGGAGGTTTGTTGCCCATCGGTTCCCCCCAGCCCAAGGTATCAGGTAAGGAGCCAGTAGCGGGTGGGATGCTACTAGGAATGGGTTTCTCCGTGGCCACCTCGGCAACCTTGAAATCCGGATCATTATAGATAAAGGATAGCTTGTCGTCGATTCCAAAGCTTGGGAGGCCTAGACCCGAGGCAGGCAAAAGCATCTTCTGGGATTGGTCGATCATTGGGCTGAGGGGCTCCCGGCCAGTTCGAGGCCGTTCATTTTCCTGGCCAGGCTCCGGGACGCGAAACTCGACTGGCGGTACATCATGGGATCCTTCATCATGGAAGCAGGCGTGATGATTGCACATACACCAGCTGGTACTGTCCAGGTTCGGGGTCCCTCCTGTAGAACGTATCCAGAACCTCCGACACCCACACTTGGCACCATTGGCACCGGGGCTGAGGTCCACGAAGTTGCAAGCTCCTCCTGGTAGCGCTAACCCATTGGTCCTGGCGGTACCGATCGGGTCACTATATATGTCGAAGAAAGGCAGGCCAGAGATGGTTGGGTCAAACGGGTTTGTCGCCATTGGTAGCCGTCGGGGGTCATCGCTGGGTTACTGGCTTGAGGTAGTCGCAAAGTATCGGCGACTTGAAAGGAAACCTGCAGGTCGCAGGTAGTGAGGCCAAACACCCTGCTCAGACCATTGCACTGTGAGGTAAATGTTAGTATGATTCCAAATGAAAGTTCAGATGATGAAAAGAATCATCAATCGATGGCCTGGGCGTCCACAAGTGTGGGAAGATCGCGACAGGTAGAGATGGACGAAGTTCTTGGAGGGTGGCAGCGGGGGAGGGTTATATACCTGCCTGCCTAGATTGACGTGTAACGGAGTCGTGTGCGGAGTTTCACCACAAAAGGCCCTTCTGCAGGAGAATGGCAGGCGGCCGAGCGATGGGAGCGTTCAATTCGAGTGAGGCGGAAGGTCGAGAGGTGGGCAGGATGGGCCGCATATGGAGATGGACGGGGAAGGGACGAAGCTGGTCCAGATCCAAAAGCTGGGTGGGTGTATGGCGGGTATGGAGGGATGCAGGTGGTCCTCTCCTGCTGCCCATCCTTCTCCACACTCGGTCCGTGACACGCCCAAGGACAAGTCTGACGCGCACGACGCCCTGAGCGGCTTCCAAAACCAGCAATCGGCGCCCGCTGCCCTAGTCCAGCAGGCCTAGCCAAGGCGGGAGTGGCATCCATATCACCGCAGCAGTGTAGGAGGCAGAGTGTGTAAGATAGATATGATTGATTAACCTTGTTTAGGTGGGAAGTGATAAGGCGACTGTTATATCAAAAGACAAAAGAACGTGTGAGCCATGGCACGGTACTACCTTGGTAGTTTCTGAGTCTACTTTTTTGGCTTTGATCGGTGCCGCTCGGCGTAATTGTCAGGCAAATGCTCCGTCCTGACTTTGATTGAAGCCCGTTTGAGTAGTACTAATGCGTGTAGCTTTAGAATATTGGAACGAAGATAATCTCATAAATAGAATATCTATTTGTAGAGAGCTTCCATGCCAATCAAGTTCTAGGTAACCTCGAGTCTTATCCTTCAGCCCAAGTTCGAGTCAAATAGCGCATAAAGCGGCACTCAAGCTAAGTTCAAACACGGCTCTTAGATGTAACTTCTGGAGCTGGATCTCCTACAGCTCCCCTCCGATAAGCCTAAAACGCCATACTTGAGGGTGCTTTACACGGTGCAGGTTCTCGTTTAGGTACATGCCCCACATGACTCAGATAACGGCCAATCGTGCGCGGCCCTCTGACCTGGACCGTGCAGTTCGCGAATGCTGGAACCAACGGGCGGTGTGTCTGTAGATTTATTTGGTATCAGCCTTCTCTCAGTTGGGGTCCGTCCTACGCGTGAGGCTGTCGAAATATTGGTAGGCGATTTGTGCTCGGCTGCCGATGCAATCAATGGTGGGTTCGGCGAATCAACACGCCCCTGCCTCGTGAGGCGAACCTGATAATTAACCGCCTCGGGGCTATTGTTGGATGAGCGTTGTCGAAGTCGGGGAACCTAGGCGTTAATCCGTCTGCAACCAAGACCAAATATGATGCGATATATGACTCAAGCCTGCCTAAATCCGCGAAGATCGGTGTTACAAGTTAACATTCACTCCCCTTTTCGGGCCGTGTAATGAGCAAGTTATCCCTTGGCCCTTTTGTAAGCGGTAATTACTGATGTAGAAAACCCATTGTATGTGCCTATTTATCTTGTCTACCGAGACTGGTATGATTTGTATGCCAACGCTAATACTCGTACATGAGGCCATAAGATCCCGCTAAAACTCCCAAAAAAAGAAAAACCATAAGAATGAAATGACCTGAATACCTATGCCGTGAATCATGCAGGATTAAAGTTCGCCCCAGCTTCCCATTGGACCATTAGATGCGATCATAGAACCTGTTCCCAACGAACCACCAATATCCCAGTAATGTCGGGACGAGACACTGCTACGCCGTGCTGACCGCCTCGTGCTTTGACTGGCACAGCTGCTCTGGTGCCGGAGCTTTGCAGGGCTGCTGGGTGTAGTGGCCTTGAAAGTACGCCGCTCCGTGGGGCGCGCTCGAGACGTGAGCGGGTGGTGTTGCCGTACCCGGGCTGCCTTTGCCGCCGCATCCTGCGTGTTTGCCGTGGCAAGATTGCCACTACTGCTAACACTGGGTGGGCTGCTGGCACGGATGTTAAAGCGGGAGCAAATATAGCGGAAGACAAGCTTGACGTCGAGATCCTTCTCCCACTCTTCCTTGGTAAAGGTATTTGCCGATGTGCTTTCTTCGACTACTGCCGGTTGCTTGTGGCTTTCGGGCATTGTTTGAGCCCTTTGGATCGTGGGCCGGAAATCTTGGCCAAGAGTCTTTTCGGATTCAAGGCTAACAGTTGACTCGTCATTGACCTGCGATAGACCTGTCTCGGGGATGACAGGTAGTCCGGCATAAGGCAAAGGCTGCTGATGAATCCTGGAGTAACTAGAAAATGCACCTGGATGGTGCGATATCTGGTTAACTAGAAGTCCGATTTCTCTTGACACAGTGTTTGCGACACGTTCATGCCAAGAATGCTCGTCTGTAGGTGTGAGCGGCATTCGATCACCGAGATGCAATGCTCGAGGAGTGCTGGATAAGGTTTCGTCCTCAGGGAATGATTCTCCAAAAAGAATCGACAGAAGATGATCATCAATCCCCAGGAGATCCTTGATCACCTTTTGCGTAACTCGAGCTAGGAGGCCGTCAGGTTCGCCCGTTGACACGTCGGCGTCGTCGTCATGCCACGTCAGATTATCCGACATGCTCTCAGCATTGACGGCCGCATGTTCATCATTTGTGCTGTGAAATGTCTGTACTTGTCGAAGAGACGCCTGGGAGCGTCTTCTTCTTCTCGTCTGTCTCTGAATTTCCTCCACGAGGACGCGGCTGTGCTCGAGTCGCCAAGCTTCGATCCTTTGCCTTTTCTCTGCTTCCTGGGAACGCTCGGAATCCAATTCCTGGTTTGCAAGATCAAGACTTTCGTGCCTGAGATGTACCCTCCTTGGATTGTACTTCTCGAACTGATACATTTGATCTTGGGCATCGAGACCCAGTGCTGGTTGGCCGATATTGAACAGCCCAAGGCCATCATGTTGAGGAAATACGGGATTTGAGAAATGAGAATCATCCATATTCTGATCTTCCTCTCTGGGGAACGAGCGGAAAGAAGGCAGGTGGCTGTCTAGTCTGTCCAGCTCGGCATCTTCTTCTTCAATCTCTGAGGGGGCGTTGGAGCCTCTCTCATCGTTGTTTATTTGTGTGGATCTCGCAGCCGTATGGATGCTCCCAATGTCGCTGAGCTGTAATCTGCCGGTCGTTTGAATGGACGGGATCGTCTCGCTGAAGTCAGAGGCGGTCGTGGCCCCTTCTGTTGCTGGTGCGAATAAGACCCATGTCTGGGACTGGTCAAGGGGCTGGTGGAGTTGGCGCTGGGCCTGGGATTGTTCCCCGGCAGATTCACGATTCTCAGCGGCGGGCTTTACAGCCCGCTGCATCGACTGGAGAGTTGGCTGACGGAAAGCCATGAGGATTGATGGTGCTCAGTTCCCCGGGGGAACGAGCGTAGGAGAGCTATATCTAGCACTTCCCACCTCGATATCGGGGCCAGGCGGGTTGCGCTGATAAGCGACAGGCCACTTAAGCGACAGGTGATCGGTGGGGAATAGTAACTGCACCAGTCGCAGGACTGCACGAAGCGCTAACTGATGCCAGCAAAAGTGCTGTCAGTATCGGAAGACGACAGCAAATGTGCGGTCTGAAGGCGATGTGGGCGGAGGAAGGCTTTCTGGGCGCACACTTAAGTATGCAGTAGATGGGGGGTTGGCGAAAGGGGAGGGCAGATACCGTAGATCTAGCATCTGGGTGTTTGGCCAACTGCCTCACTTAGCACATCACCTACTACGTGGTGGAGGCGTCATACAGAACTTGCTAGCCAGGTATGGATCAGCGGCCCCACATGGCCCGGCGGAGGTGACTCAAGTCTCTAGGGGAGGGAATGGTCGTGTGCTGCTGGTTGGTGGTACTAGCCAGTCCTTGGATTCTACAAATAGCCACAGGTTCAAGATGCGACTGTACTCAATACTACCTACTTTTGTTGAGGAAAAGCGAAATGGTATATAGTAGGATCAAGGCAAAGATATACTATCTGCAATATATATCCCCCTCTGATACTAAATATTAGTATTTAATTAGATTTAAAATAGATATACTATTAATTTACCATAGCGCGCAGGCCGGGTTTATGGACAGTAATCTGGATCAACCTAAACCTATCATAGTAGCTGTCTCTCCTTAAGACGAATGATCGCTATGTTGCTGACCTAGCCGTCTGCTGCTGCGACAAGTGATTGCTAGGAACCTAACCTACCTATCCGCTGCTATTACACATGATTTATCTAGCCGTAGCTGTAGCCGTAGCCCTAATCTAAGAAGGAGCTGTAGCCACAACAGCAGCCCTGACAGTGTGTGGGACTTCTGACAGCCTGTTGGATTCGTAACCACCTGTTGAGCCTCCACTGCGCGCTATGGTACTCTACCAACGATGTCTAACTCCGTGATGCAAACGCGCCGATGAAGTTGGCAAGCTTCTCTGCACCCTCGAGAGAAATCGAGTTGTAATTAGATGCCCGGATACCTTTTAGCTCGCGATGACCCTTTAGTCCAGTCAGCCCAATAGTAGCAGCATCCTTTAAAAATGCTTCTTCGACAGTATCGCCACCCTTGATCCTGAAGCAGATGTTCATGCGTGATCGTACTGCTTTATCGGGGATGATCTGGTAAATAGCAGGATAGGTCTCAAGGGCGCTATAGATAAGCTGAGCTTTTCTTTGGGATAGAATCTGCTGCCCTTGGACTTTATCGGGATGTTGTAATAATAGCTGCTTTAAAACCCGGCCTGCAATAAAGACACTATAAAAATTATTTAGTTTACTTAAATTTACAAGTTACGGTAGTTTGGGAAGATATACTTACTCAAATATACTCAATGTATTATAAAGACTATTATTTTTAATAATAGTTTCATATTCAAGGATACGGGGCGGGATTGGCAATCCGAGCTGTCTCATTAATGCTGCAGAAGGCTGTGGTAGGAGGTGTTTTTGGATAATAACAACAGTAATACCAGTTGATCCAAGGTTCTTCTGGGCACCGAAGAAGATAGCTGAGAAATGAGATATCGGGATTTTCCTCGAAAGGATGTTGGAGCTCATATCAGCGACAACAATTGGTCTGTCGAGCCCCGGCTCGAGACATTTGGGAAATCCAGGAAATTCAACGCCACTGTCTGGATTAGCGCTTGCGTCAGTATAATCATCAAGGCGAAGGTAAACATACTGGACAGTCTCATTATCGCAGTAATAAACCATGGCAGCATCGTGAGATAGATTCCAGGTGTCCTCACTCGGGATCGTTCCAAATTTGCCACCGTTTGCTTCACGGCTATCAGCCACGATGTTGACATGTTCCGAGCCAAAAAGTCGCTCAGCTTCGGCCGCTGCTTTATGTGACCAGCCACCAGTGATGATATAGTCCATCTTGAGATTCTCAACGGCCGACTTAAGCTTTAGGATTGTGCTCTCATCATTTTCCGAACCCTGCAACTCCTTGTGTTTGCGGGCGACCCAGTTGCCAACAAAGTTGTATGCCATGGCAGAAAATTGTGCAGAGCCTCCTCCGTGCATAAAACAGACTTCATAATCGTCTGGAATGTCCAGGTACGAGACCAGATCGGCCTTGGCCTCATTAATTATAGTAAGTGCAATCTCCGATCGATGCGAATGTTCGGCAACTATATGTAGAGAAACCAGACGTCAGCATCAGTCATCCGAGACAGCCGTCAAAGGGTTACTTCAAGATCCGTCCCAGGGATAATGGTAGAAGAAGGAGGACGGCCTCGGGGGAGTCCATACTGCCAAGGCCACTCCCATTGTAATTGAGGAGCGCCGCGGCAGCTTCCTCGAGGACGGCAGTAGGTAGCAATGCTGGACCTGCACCGAAGCTACCACAATCACGAGTTAGCAATATCAATATCAAGAATATTCAGGAGTTGCATCGGGGGACATTGAACTATGTACAAAAGACACTGCTGCTTCTACGACAAGGTAGGAAGGGGAATATCAACAAATTGTAAAAGGTTTCTTACTACGTGATATCTGATCTGGAGGGCATGGCGGCGATGTAATCGTGATTGCTCGGGTTTGTTAGGGCTTGAGAAATTTGACTGAGCAAGAGAATGGGTCGGGAATGTGACTTTGAAGCAAAGTTTTCCGATTAGATAGCGCATCGGAAGAGCCGCTCCACAATGATATTCAACCTTTTTACTACAGGTACTTGGGGGCCTAGATTGGCGGCCCCCCTACTTGCCTACCTACGAGTAGCTATTTCGCCAGCAACTCGCAAAAGAAAAAGCGACTTGCGGGTCAACTAATTTAGTATGGGTAATCAAGTCACTTGCTAGGGGTCCTACCCTATTGCAATTTTTATCGGTCTAGTATAGGGTATATCTACTTTCTTCCCTGATAAAACCAGTCATCTCTAGTTGGACATGCCGCCCTCTGGATCTTTTGAGTCTGATCGTTGTGCCTGATGGCAAAGGACCCCTTGGGAGAAGCAGGGGACATGGCCGCCTGATGCGGTGGCTGGAGGCGGAGATGCGGGACTTGCGAGAGCTGCGGGAGGAGCTGTGGACGCCGTGCTCGGAGAGCCTGAGATCAGTGCTCTTGGGGGCTTAAAGTTCGGTTAGCCATTCCGACGTTTTCTGGTATTCTCTTCAGGTTTTCATAGGTAGCCCGCGGGTTTTGACTAGAATTGGCAACTTTTGTCGGATGGTTCCAAGAGATTGTGTATGGTAGGATCAAGACAAACGGACGCATCATCCGCAGCGTATATTCCCTTCCAATCTAAGGTGTGCCTGGCAACAACAAGGCTCACGCTTTGGCCTCCTGATACCTCGATGACTGTGCATGTGTGACATAAGCGAACCGGGAGAGCACTTGGGCGTTTCCGAGTTGTAGATACAGTGGCATTAGTTACTATCCCCAGCGTAGCCAGTGCCACCAGACAGCACTGGCCCAAGCGACATGGACAGCTTGGCCAGCCAGCTGGCAGTCTACTATATACTGCAACGGCACCGATATTCCATTTCTGACTATCTTAAGAAACGAGTCTGACGCGATGCCCAAGGGGGTATCAGGCGAGATTACGGTGATGCAAGGATTATCAGTGATCACGTCTTCTAGCGGTCTGTCTTTGCCAGGCGTTGCGAGACACCTAGCACAGGGTCGATCTATCTCCCGTACCTGAGTCGCACACCGCGTACACACACTACCCAACCCAACACACTTGGTTGCAACTATCCAGGGTTCTTCGTCGAATGACAATGTGGTCACAGGGGGTTGGGTACCTTGCAGGCCGAAACCGACTCAGATACAGTCATAAGCGCCTTGCCGGTTGGCGTTAAGTCGAGGCTTTCAACGCAGGGCTCCCGTGTTGGACTTTGATATAGATTTAGTATTTGATGGTCTTCGCGTGACGCCGACGCTTTGATGGCGACCGGCATGAGATTTCTACGATGAATCAGAGCCATGCTACCAGGATCATCACATATCCCCTGAGGGAGCATAATCTTTTAATTTTGACCACTTCACGCATGATAGTGCCAGCACACTCAAAATAACAGATGAATCAATTGCCAACTCGACTCTCTTGATCTAAGGGAGTATCTAACGTGACATGCCTGATTTTGACGCCAACCTGATCCCAGTCAACCCAACAACATCATCATCTAAGCCTCGGAAGCGAAGGCACCGGGGAAGCGGCGAACGTTGTCCTTGAGGTTGCCGTGGTTGCTCAAGAACTGAACGTAGGCACCATCCACGAGAAGACGGCCGGAAGCCTTGCGCTCGAGGTACTCCTCGCGGCGGAGAGGGGTGAAACCCCAGTTCTTGGAGACGATAATCTTTTGGCGACCGGGGAACTTGTACTGGGAGCGGCGGAGAGCCTCGAGAGCGAGAGCACGGTCTATTAAATTGGTTAGTTCACCGGATCGAGGCTCAGTATTTGAAGATGAAACATACTAGAGTCACGAGTGCGGACGCTCATGAGAATCTGACCGATGTTGACACGGGCGACAGTGCCGTTGGGCTTGCCCCAGGCACCACGCATGCCAGTCTGCAGTCTATCGGCACCGGCGCAAGACAACATCTTGTTGATACGGACGACGTGGAAGGGGTGAGCACGGACACGGAGGTGGAAACCTTCCTTTCCGGTGTTCTTGACGAGGTACTTGTTGGCGCAGATACGGGCGGCCTCGAGGGCCTCGGAGCTCAGCTGCTCATACTCGTTGGAGACGAGGTGAATGCAGAGAGGGAAGTCGTCGACATTAGCACGCTTACGGCCGAGATCGAAGATGCGAATCTTGGGGTCGGGGACACCACGGTTGAAACGCGACTTGGGATACGGCTATGAAGAGACCCATGTTAGATGCTGTCATTATAGATGTTGCGTGAATACTCTTTGGGATGGT